AATACAAAATGATTTTCAATGAAGCGAAAGCATTCATAATTTGGATCCTAAGAATGTAACATTTCAGATTTCTTAAATTCTTATAAGCATTAAATGCTTATAAACAGAAAGTCTCTTTTGATGTATCGATTTAAACGATATAAATGTCAACTTAAGAATTTAGTGATTGCAAATTCAAATATATGAATATAGATTCAGGGAAATGATCTGAACTCATGAATCTTTATATATTTCTAAGTATAATACTACTGATTTGTTCAATATTAAAATTAATATTTTAAAGTTTCAATTGAAATATTGCCCGAACATTATCATTTTGACTATGCTCAATTTCAATGATTGAGTAATTTGTTATCTTGATAATTTGTGTCTAATTTAACTTTCTGTTTTTTACTTAATCTTCTCCGAAAGCATTACTGTTTTTAATATTGCTTAGAAATAAGTGAAGTTGAAAGAGTGCTTTTTTTACTTCTAGTAGGAAAGAATTAAGGAAAAGAAAGATGAAGTTATGATAAGTTAGATTTTAAAGGTTAGAATTTAACCTTTCTTTGATTGTTTATCCAAAACAAAGTGTTAACAACTATGTAACTAAAAAGATACTTCTCATTTTAAAAAGTTTAGTTGAAAAATTTTTTTGAAATATATTTTTTGAGAAAAACATTACATTAAAGCTATTTTCTGATGTTACCTATTGCAGAATATACGCCTGCAAATATTTAGAAAGCCGACTGACAAATAAAAACTTCCAGTCATAAAATAAATCTGATCACGAGAATCTCGGAAAAACGTTTATTACTACGTTTACTTCTTACGTTTATTCATTAATAGTGGAAATAGCTTCAAATTCTGACCATCTATCTACGTAGACTGAGTATTTGTTAACGGAAGAACTCTGATAGCAAACGTTTCCGTCAATAAATTTTCTAACCTTTTAATGAAAATTTTCAAATAGAAATGAACTTTTTCTCTTTTCTCTCTCTCTCTTTCCCTTTCTTTTACCACAATTTAGTTTTGCTTTTTATAGCGAACAATCTTCTTTTATTTGCTAATTCCTTGTCATCAAGAAGTTCCTATTAATAACAGTACTGTATTGGTGGCGAAAGTAGCGAATCAGGCTAATTTATTAGGCTTTCAGGAATTCCGGAGATTAAAGTGAGGCATTCACTGGTTTCTTATCCTATCCTGACTTAGCCTCTTACCTTCATTATCATATATTATTATCAGTGCATGAAATAGTCACAATAACTTTGTCGATGACATGAACATCATAGATATGCGCTGTGGATGAGCATAGTAATCGGCGCCGTCTGGCGCCTTCATGTCCCAGACAGACCGAAGGAACCATCAGAATTTTGATGATTACCTTTCGAAGAATGGAAGAAAAACACTGCATGTCTTGGAGATATAGGAAGGAAGGAATCATCTCATTCCACCAATCCCTGTCTTCGGTTCCGTTCAAATCATCTTCCACCTAGGTTGCACCGGTTTTCCATGATTATATCACTTCGCTTTTCATTTACCCATGGATTCCAGTAAGTATGCGACAGTGTCTACACTTTAAATCATCTCGTTCATTTCAAGATGAAAGGTTATTAGAAGGATCGAATCGAGTGGTCTGATAATAGTTGGTGGAAGGGTAAAGGGTCATCACCACTACTTATAATTTTAGCTGGTAGTGGTCATAATCTGATAATGGAAGAAGGCAACATGATATTTTGCAATAGAAATTGTTAAGCTAAAACACCGTGGTGGAACGAAGGAAAGAGAGTTTATTACTCGCTGATGGGAAATGATAAGGTCAAAGGTGCACAATTCATTTATGCGAATTTGAAATTAGCTGATTTGATTTGATGGTTTATCTGTGTTTGAAACTTTTCGCAATCATTTCAATAGAGGTTTTCTGACAAAAAATGAGAGAAAGGAAATTTGAAAATTCTTCTTAGTAACAACCAGAATAATCAACTAGCATATTAATTTTATAGGAATTTATGAAGAAACGGCAAAACTTTACTTACTGTAACTCAATATCTCATGATGACTTTTTGGATTTAGATTTTATTGAATTGAAATCAAAGATTTATAATTTAATTCGTCAAAGCAATGAATAATAATGTCATCTATCACAGAATTGCAATAACAACAATAAAAACACCAACAATAATATCAATTGAATGTAATGGTGCCAAGTGGCCAGAGTAATCATTTTTCCTAAAGTGATACTCGCAGTTTAATAAAATTCATAATTTATATAAAAATCAGCGATTCTTAAATGCTACACATTCTAAGCAACATGTTATAGCTAGCAGTTATCCATAGAAGAAATGTGAAGAAATCATTATCAGAAATTTGTATTTCAGATAATTTTTACTTTTACCTATATTCTCAAATTTTTATTTTACTAATGCAAAATAAATGTCCAAATTTTCTTCTTTTGTCGTTATTTTTAAGAGCTGAACAAAAGCAGTTTTCATGTAAATATTTGTTCCCTTCTTCGGTACAGTCTAAATTGCTACTTTTGGTATAAAGTTGGTGTAAAAAGTATTATAATTACATATCACGTGAGTGACGTTTTTGTCGAGATTTTATTTGGATCATTCACAAAAATACTATAATATTTTTTAATCAAGCGTATGATCAACATAATTATTTATTGTCTTGATCTCTCAACAATTCCGTCCAGTTTTTGATGAGCTGCGATGGTATTACGTATGCTTGCATGTAACTCACGTAAACTCGAGAATTTGTACTTTTCTTAGCTAGTTGCTATTCATTGACAGTATTCACTGTAGAAGTATAACTGAACATCAGATGATCAATTCACTGATTAAATAAAATTCAAAAGTGTTCATTCCTCTCTTCTCTCTATAGATTTCAGCTTTTATTGTTCCGTTGAGATATTTGAATTTCACCAGGAACTCTCGAAGACAATCGTGTTGACATATAATTGGAACATATTATGCCTTGTCAACACTTAAATCAGTGCCATTCGTTCCTGCCACTAGAAGTTGCCATATTTTTATCACTGTGGAACTTTCACATAAATACTTCCATTATCAGTAAGTGAATTGATTTGCATTGGATAACTTCGATAAGCCATAGGTTCCAGAAGTAATAAAAGTTAATGTGGAAGACGAACTGAAATTCATGATGAATGAATAAATTCTATTATCAGTTAATCATTTTTATATCATTTATATGCATCATATCTGTTAAAAATTCACAGCAGAAGTCTTAGAAAATTGGGATACTTTTTAAGTCTTCAAAAATTTCCAAATTGTTTATTTATCTTAAAAAAAAAAAAAAGTAAATAATGACAACGTTGTGGAAAATCAATTTATAAGAATTACTGTTTTCTGATGATTTCGAATAAGTTTAATGCTTTTTTGTTTCTCTAATATAAAAATGAAACAATATCTTGTGTTTGCTTTACTTTTCTTTAACCTTTAAATATGTCAACAGTTTCGTTAATTCTTTTTACAGTTTATTTAGGCCATTTTAAATTGTTCAAAAAAAAAAAAAAAAAAAATAAGAAAATAAGATATTTCCTTACTTCTTTACTTTTCTTTTTCATTTTTGATTTCTCAAAATGCTATTATCCTATGCGTGCATATTTTTTTTAAATCAACACTTACACAGAATGTTATCGTCCAATGAATCATAAAAATTCTCATCGAATTACCAAAATATCAGGATGAACAAAAAATTTTCATCCGACTATTGTAAATGATATCCAGGCATTACTTTGAAATCTCGGGAACAACCTTTGCTCATTTATCGAGGTTCCTTTCTAGTCATCATTTAGATTTTTTAATTCAAGACGTACCGGAAGGGAATAATAGGTGCCAAAATGATTTAATGACATATTTTGGTTTAACAGTAAAATTTAAACCACTATACTTTTTTCTAATCATTCGAACAATCAAATTTTGAACACAAAAAGTTGATTGTCTTCCGGTTCACTGTCCTAGCAATTAATTAAATAAAAAAATTCTTATCTTAAATACCTCAGCTACCTTGACATATGTTCACTGGCTTTAAACAGCTGTGTCTATTATTCGATTCGAAGCGATAATTTCTTTTTTTTTCCATTTTCCCTTTTACACTTGTGATATAAAAGCTAGAATTTGAAGTAAACCTAAATTTCTACCACTTTTCAATCTTACATTTACATTTATTCTCTTCTACTATAATTGATTGAGTAATTAGGTTTGCATTTACCTATGTAATAAGTTAATTGTTTATTTGATATTTAGCATAGATAATATCTGTATTTGTAACTTGTAATTTACAGTACTTATTATGCATATATATTTAGAAATCGTAAATTGTGAAAGTGAACTAAAAGATACAAATCAGTACTGCTAAGACAATTTCATTGAAATGCAAATTTGTTAGCAAAAAAAAATTTATTCATTTTTCAAAATGATTTACTGAAAGAGAATGTACTTTTTTTTTTCTTTTCTCCACTTTCTCTCATTTAATTCAAAAGGACAGATGGTCAGACTTAATGATATTCCCTTTCTTTTTTTTTTCCTTTTTTGTTTCGAAAGTGATTTTAAAAGCATCAGCAAATGTATGTAATTAGAAAGAAAGCTATTCATGAATATTATTATTGAAAAAACGGTAAGCAATTATTTAAGCACAGTTCTTCAAATATCCGATAATCTCCTCCTGCTTCTTTGATCTATCATTTGATTACGGTAGTTTTGAAACCATTTCTGATTTCAATAATCCGTTTAAACGATTCACGGATAATGATTATATTTCTTGTTTGGAAATGTGAATGCAGTTGTCAAGGAGAATCTTAATTGATCTAAATGATGCACAGCTTATTTTTAAATATCTTCAACAATTTCAGATTCTGTGATTTCCTCTCTATCTGTATATTTTGATTCGTTTCAATTCAATGATAATGACAGGAAGCGCTGTCAACGAAGCAACATTTGGAATTGTTGCATGGAGGATTCGATAGCCTAGCTGGGCCACAAATCACTCTCAAAATGTCAATTTGCTTATTGCTCATTCACTTTTTTATTGGCTTAGGCAGTACCTATACAAATGCATTCGCATTAACAACAATTGCACAACTTAGAAGCGAACGATCTGTAAGTTTTCTGTTAGTAAGTCATCAACGATCTGTTAATAACACTTTAAATAAATTGAAATATGCTATAAATCATTTCCTCGGAATGAAACTTCAAAATTTTCAGTATCAATTCAAAAGTATAAGTAAAAGCATTTCTAAAAACAATTCAAAAAATATGTTGACCCTTTGACATCAATTATTTAAATGAAAAAGATTCATTTATTTCCGCCATCGAATAACGTGTTTTACGTATCACGAGACTCAGATATGCAATAGTATCAGTTTTATTTCAAATCACAAAAAGCATTTCAAATTCTTCAAATCTCAAAAAATACTTCAAATAGGAAATAAGTAAATAAGGTGACTTGAATACCAATTTTCTTATTATTAACTTAGATATTGACATGCGCATTACATGAATTCCTATAACTCTCATTAATTAGTTGCAGTTACATTGATATGTGCTTGCATATTTCTGAATAATCAAAATAAAAAAATTGAAAATTTGAAAGGCTCGTAATGAATACTGATCGATTTAAATAATTTTTAACCTTTTGTTTTTCTGATAAATTGACAGAAGTGTTCTGCAACGAATTAAGTAACCAATGAAACAAAAATGAGGCATAGCATACTTTTCAAAAATAATAAGAAAGAAAAAATGGAAGGAAAAAGAAAGTTCTGAAATTGTTTTGAGGAATAAATTTATTTCGATTGATTAACCTTTTAGTGATAAGTGCAAACTGATATTTTTTTAAATTTCATTTAGTTAAAATTTAAGAATATTTTAGTTTAACTTTGTTTTACTTACCCATTTATCATATTTTTGCAAAATATTTAGCAAGGAGAAGAAGAGTGTTTTATGCAAAAACTGTGCAATTACGAAGAAATGAATGTCGAGCCGATTTGTGGCAGTGATGGAAGAACCTATAATTCATATTGTGAAGTAAAACGAGCTATATGCCATGGTAATCCAGTGAAAAAACAGTTTTCCGGACCTTGTCCTGGTATATTCCGTTTCTAACTTCCTTAATAGAAGTTAAGGACAAATGTGCAAACATCAAGGATGAGCAAATATTGAATGAATTTTAAATCTGATGCTATTGCAAATTTAATATTTTCAGAAAATAATCTTCGAATGCAAAAATATAAAATAACAAAAATGATTAAAAATGTAAGAAAAAAAATGATTTCGTGAAAACGAGTTTTAAAAGAACTTTGGGATATTTATTCCGATCAGAAATATTGTTGTAGAAAATTTGCGATGTCAACTGGAACGAGCTTATCAGTTGAAATTAGCAGCGGAAAAAATGAATAGCAGTGAAGTTTACGTGCCGGAATGCAATGCTACCGATGGTTCGTATGCTACCATACAGGCTTGTTCATACTTATTAAATAAACGTAAAATTGTTTAACTATTCATTCTGTTATCAATCTTTTATCTTATCATGATATGATATGATAAAAGACTTAGGGAGTAGTCAAAGTCTCAGTTTTTATTCATGTGACTTTGGACTATGATAGCAATAAACATTTTATGTTCTGCTTTTTGTTAAATTCATGGAGGGAAGGGGAAGGATAGTTACACTAAATGGTTAGTACTATAAAATGTAGATGTTACAGTGTCACAAAAGCACGGGTTATTGTTGGTGTGTGACACGGATCGGACGACCGTTGCCAAGTACATCTAAACGATATGGCATTCCGAATTGTCATATTTTGCAAAGTTGGCTTATTTTAATGAGTTCCATTCGAAGATTTGATTTTTGTTGAAATTATTAGAAAGTAAATTTTGGATTAGAGACTAATAACAACAACTTTTTAATGATACGCCATAGCATTTGATGGAAAAATTTACAAGAGATTGATAAGTGATAACGAATACCATGTACTTCCTGATAATGATTTTAGAGACGAAAATTGGACGACGTTCGCATCGAAAAAGTAACGGTGATTCGGTATCCTTAAATGGTATGATTCATGCGACAGTGAATTATTTTTGTAATGAAATTGGTTAAGTGAACTTTTCCTTAGTGTCCAAAAGAATTTACTTATATTGACCCTACTCACTAAATCATGGCCTTTCTTACAACAAAAATGGAAAGGTCAATTAACATGTTTTCTGCACCGTTCTCTTCCGGATATTAGCACAATAATTTAATTGGCATTGATTTAAGCATAGCAAAATTTGCAGTATGTACAACGGTCGATCGATCAACATTCAATGCCAATTTGTTGAATATTTTTAAAAAGGAATACGAACGCAGCGAGCAATTTTTGCATCGTAAGTTGCTAAGAATTGCCCTTTTTTTTCCTTCTCTATTAATAATATTTGAAAATAAGCTAATATTTGTTAGCTATTTGCTGAAAGAAAAATATTTGCTAAGCACTGATAAATTTTATGATTATTTCATTACATTACTATTGACTTTTTAGACACAAATGGGGCAATGCAATCATTTGATAAAAAGATATTACTTTGGAAATTTGGTCAGCTTGATAGCGATAAGAATAGCCGATTAAATTCAAAAGAATTCGGTGGTTTACGTCGTCTTGTTCGGTATGACTTTTCCTTCTAGTATTACTTAGCAGCTATCATCTTACTTGATTTGCTTATCTATTTGTCTTGTTCCAAATGCAATTTCAGCCAGAAATGTCTTCTTAAATTTTGCAACTTGTTTGATCATATATAATCACTGCTATGAGATTTTACTTTATTGAATTCAATGATAACTGAAATTCCTAAATTTAGTGATTCGGAATTTTTTGTTTTCATACTTTAGCAATGTCACTACTAAAAAATTTAAATGCAGAAACTCTTGTCTAATAAATTAATAATAATATTTATATAGTTTAGAAAGCATGTTACGCCGAAAACGTGCGCAAGAAAGTTTACAAAATATTGTGATTTGAATAAGGATGGTGAAATAAGTGCTCGTGAATGGGTCACTTGCTTAGGCATTGATATTTCCAGTAAGTTCATTATTTCTAAACTTTTCTCTCTTCCAAAAATAAAAGTAACTGTGGGTGTAGTGGATGAAAATTGCCATTGTTTGAATGAAAAAATTTGGTATCAAGAAGATTGATATCCGTAGACGAAAAGAACTGTCTGAATTTTCCGTTACTGATTGACTGATTGATTGATAGGAAATTAATAATGAATTGGATCATAGACATAGGTAACAAATTTTGGTCGCTTTTTTTTTCAACTTCCATGAGTTATTAAATTTACAAATTATTCGTTTAAAGTGTTATTTCCTTCATCGAAAAATTGAATAACTTCTCATTTACACATTTTCAGAATATACTCCATATTTCATAAGTGGTAATTATTATTTTAAAATTATCAGGCTTTTTTTTTTTGCTTGCTTTACTTTAAATTTAGTTTTTGCTTTCAATATGGCAGTTGAAGGAAAGGAAAATGAATAACCTTAGATTGAGAAGTGTTGGGTGGATATGATTCATTTGAAAATAAAATCGTTCAGTTTATGCTTTCCTCAAAGTCATAACATAGTAATATCATCTTTTCTTATTTGTGTTTCAATTATTACTTGCTTTAACTTAACTATTTTCACATGTCATATAGAAAATTTTTATGCTAAATTTGTAAATTTTAATTTTGTTAATATTAATGTATTTTTTTTTCATAAGCTTGCGTTGTTAAATACTAATAATGAAACAGCTATTATAAAATTAATAAGCAGCTATTCTCTTAATTAATTAATTGATCGTTTCACTAACGTTGCAGTAATTTTTGCAGCATCATATAATATGTTTAACGCTCTTCGTCCTAATTCATCCATTACTAACAGCAACAATAGCAAGAGCAACAACAATAACAACAATACTTCGATGGTAATTAAGGATGACCATCATAAGGAACAACAACAACAACAACAGTCAATAAGGAAACAAGAAATACAGGGTGAACAAGCTAATAACTACACTGCAAATAATATCAACCTTTCCCAATTATTATTTTTAGAGGTCAAATCCAAAGGTCATACATACTTTTGATTACCTTATTTAATGATACTTCTTGTATCCTTCTCACTCTTTCTCCCTCTCTTTCTCTCTCTCTCTGTCCCTTTCCTCCTTTCTACCCGTTAGAGTAGTATTGTTGAAGGATTTTGGTGCCAAATTATCAGCAGTTTCATAAATTTTTATCAATTTCTAGTTAGTATGTTTTATTAGTATGTTTAGAACTTATTGAAAAATTTTTCTTCTTTTAAGTAAAATAAAAAAGAATAATGGATAACAGAATGAAATAAAAAAAAATTGTAGAAATGAAGCATTTCAGTTATACTTGTTTTGTCTATTCACTTATTTTCCATTTCGTTTTAAAATTTAAATAATTCAATTAGGAGTAACAGTCTAACAAGAAATTCAAAAATGCTATGATATTGTAATCTAAATATCCAAAGTTCTCACTTGAAAATATTTCGTTCAAGAATGACCTATTTGAACTTCCTATTCTTATCAAATGATTCCCATGCGAATAATTTTTTGAACCATACTATCACAATTTTTTCCTTCTTTTTTTCTTCCTTTTTTTGTTCGAAAAACAAAATGAAATTAAGAGAGGAAGATGATAGGATCGTTTGCGCCTTATCGGACTGTAATCTTACCAATCTTCCCTCTTCCTCTCCTCTCTTTCACGCCAATTTGTCCTTATACCTTTGTCAGTTCTTCCTCATTCTTGCTTCCACCTCAAAATTTTTTGAAATCCATTTTTCCTGTCTCTCTCTCTCTCTCTCTCTCTCTCTTAGAGAAATGCATTAGACATGCATGTATCATTGTTACAGACTTATAACTTCAACTATTATTTATATATGCCATAAGTTTATGTAGAGGGAGGAGACAGCGACAACTTTCCGTTCAGAGGTGCAAAGAGACACAACCATGTCACACATATTTCCTTTAAAAAAAAAATGAAAAAACAAACTGATTTTACTCCTGCGACTATCGCAAGTGCGTGTTTCTGTGCACTGATCTGAAACTGTTTGTTTATATAATTTCTCTTGACCTTTGATCTCACCAAATAGTTAAACATTATAACTTATAACTTGATTTTGTTAAACTTATTTCTAAGTTCTTTTACACTTCATTTACAAAATGTAATAATAATATTGATATCTGATCTTTCAAAGTAATACACAAAATATTTTCTATCATTTCTTTCTTTTATTGTCATAATTCATTATATGTCAGTAATATGAGCATCTCATTATAATACGTTTCAATTTTATCATTATCATTATCATTATTTGCATCATTGTTATGATAATCATTGCCATTATTAATTCTCCATCAGTCATCACTCCTGCCATCTGTGTTCGTTTCATTTTGTATTAATCTGTCTGTAGCCTATCAGTTTTGAGAATGTGATATGCAATGATAAGATAGATGGTGATTTTTATAATTCAGATGTTGAAAGTTTTCGTATTATTCAGCTAGCAAAAAATTCATCCATTATTTTATCATTAAGAGATTAAAATAAGAGAAAGTGAAAAAATGAAACATGAGGTGCTGAAAAGCTGGACTTGGCCAAATGCTTGACCAAACTATATCTGGGACATGAGCTAAATTTCTAGGAATGGTTCTTTTCTGATAATATTTCTGTTTGTCTTGGTTACTCATTTATTCCACTGTACTTTTAGGATATGCAAATTTGACCTTTAAAACAAGAAATTTTGTATGATCTCAACAATTTAGTTCATACAGTCGTGAATATTCCAAAAAATATAATTTTTGGTGCAAAATAGAATTGCCTAATATAAGCAGACTAAATCTAAATAAATTATTAAAAGTTTAAATGATTTTCAAACGAAAGTTGTTTATTAACTGCTGTAGAAACTGTTCTTACTCTTTCTAACTTTTCCACAATCCTTTCATCATATTTATTTTTCTAAACAATTTCGGTAAGCAATTTTAATGAAGTTAACTAGTTCAAGTACTTCTTTTTCTAACAATTCGTCCTATATTTTGTGTTTTGAGAAATGAGAAAAACACATATATTTTTATTTTCACGTATCAATTTTTTTTCTATTTAATTTTAATTTTAATTTGTACCGAAACTCAGTTTAGATCAATACCCATGAGATTACTCGGTTTATTTACTTATCTAATTTCTTCCTGGAAAGTTATTTTGAACATCTGATCATTACTTTTTAATGTTTCTTCTTTTTTATTGTAACTAGAACCAACTAATAACAGAATTAAAAACCTTTCTCAAAATGTCCATTTTAATTTTCAATTGCAGCTTTGCTTACTTTTAGTAGTCGCTTAGCATTTATCTTATTAAATGTAGCACAAAATATTCATTTCATTAATTGTCCACTTTTGCTTTAACTTCTATTTAATTAACATATTTAAGTTTAAAAGTTCTTATCATTAGCTTCTCGTAATTCGTATTTCTCATCTTCCTCATGTCTATATATTATCAGTTATTTATCATTCATGATAGAGTCATTTCCTAGAATACTTCGTCATTCTTTCTGTCAACTTTTCCCGTTAAATAATCATGTAACCATTATTTTGTTCATTTTCTTCGACAATATCATTATATTCGTACACGTTAGCATCTTCGATTTTAATTACCCATCTTAATGTGACACTATTAACTTTGTCATTTCAAATGAAGTAGAAAAGCTTACTCAGAACTTTATACATTCATTACCTTTCTGTTCATGACAAAGAAAAGAAATAAGTTTACATTGCTGTGCCAATTTTGATATTAGAGACGCCTCTTGCTGATGATTTCCTTATTTCCATTCATCCATCCATTCACGTTTGTTGTTTATTTACTACAATGACCACTACTATTAGCTTCTGTAACCATTATTTACGGCTATTTTTGTTGGTCACTGCTTAAGAGATGACGCATTCCTTGAGGGATAATGGTTGGGTAGTGGTGCTGCTGCTGCTCTTCAATTGTTTATTGAGCTTCAACGATGGTCGCTATCATTCTACCTTGATACTGAACAATCGCGACGACTCGAAGAAGCTGCCAAATGGATTATTTGGTGGTTCCATTAATGGTTCCTTCATTTTATTTCATCAATAGTATTTCTCTTTAAATTACTTATTGGAAATTTAATCATTTCTCTCAATCATTCCATTAAATTTGAATTTCGGTCCGTTTTATAAGTCCACTTTTTGATGGATGTCAACTTAAGATGTACAACTGAAAAGGCTGAAACGTATGTCACGTCATAATCATCTTATCATTCAAGCCATTTCCATCTTTACGACATAATTACAGCATCTTTCAACTGTTTATTTCTTAATAAGCATAATTGATTACACACAAGGTTGAAAGCTATCTTCATCTAGCGGTCATACAATGAATGCATATTTACTTTTTTTTTTTTTTTCTAAATAATAACTCTTGCTGAATAATATATGAATTCGAATTGGCTTAAAGATTAAATCGGAAGCTATTTTAGATCACTTTCAAGCTAATTAAAATGCCACTTGATTAGTACATTAATCTGTTTTTTTGCTGTTCAACAATTTAACAAGCTTCTTCTGTTGCTTCGTGGTAGACAATTAGTGAAATTAATAATAGCTAATCATCAATATTAAACATACTAATAATCAAAACAATAATGAATTAAGAAATGTTAGAATTATTTTTTTCTTTAGGTATCGTTCATGCGGATGGTATCATTGGTATGCCAATTGTTGATAGTAGGCGGAAAAATGAAACTGAATTAAAACGTGAGCAAGATGAAGATGAACGAAATGAAGTAAAAGAAGATACTTTCGGTGGGGCGCATTTGTCGTCTTTCTTCAAATGACTTAAATTTATGATTAAAGAGCTTCTAAAAACAAATTTACAACATTGACCACCTTGATATAATACTGTTTAAATTTTTAGGAGTTTTTTTTAGGATTAGAAATTCTTATGAATTTGTGGACTGATGAATTAAAACTTTTCCAAACAGAAGAAAAATTAATTTGTTAATGCCATATTTATCTAACCTCTTCTCACCTTATCAATAGTAATTGATGATAAATTTAATGATCTTTGAACTTTGAACTTACTGCCAACAGTCTAAGAATTCAGTAAATTCAGGAAAAACAGATTGTCGTACACAACGAGAACGAGCAATGAGAAAATTAGAAAATAATCCAGAAAATGGGAACTATATACCAACCTGTGCTGGTGATACTGATATGTAAGTTTTGCATGATAACGATCTTAAATGATATCAGAGTGATATGAGAGCAAGTAATGTCATTTGTCACCAAAACAGTTAGCATGTTTATAATTTGAGGACCTTCTTCTATTCGGCATCGTCTTTTTTATACTAACATCGCTTGGTTCTCTTAAGATAATTTTATTTGATTCATTATGGAAATTTAAGATATTTAAAAGAAAATATCTCCACTAATTGATTTTTTTTAAATTGTTGATGTTCCAGTAAGTCTACTTCAAAATTATTGATGTTTACTTCAAAGGAGTTCTCGGCACTAATTTAATAAGTTATCTTCCCAACTTTTCTTTCTTTGCTAAATTTCTGCTCTTTTGCAGACTCTTTGATCGAATTCAGTGCCATCGTTTATCACATATTTGTTGGTGTGTAAATCCGAAAACCGGTATTCCACAATCCGGTACATCCAAATACAACGCAAAACCAAATTGTGATGGAACACTTCAACAGAATGATCTTTCTAGGAGGCAAATTAAAGGTTAGAATAAGTTTTCAAAAATTGAAATTTAAATAGTTCTTGATTAATGGTTGTACCTGTTCATCCGCCTAATTTGCTTAAGCATTCTAAATCAAAAAAATCGTATCGTTAGACAGAGAAGTGTATTGATTGTTATCACAAATATCATGGAAACATTTGAATTACAGGTTGTTCGGGTAGGAAAAAAACCAAATTTTATCAGCGATTATTTTCGTCACTAATTAGTGAATGGATTTTGGCTTTGGGTGATGAAGCAAATGATGATGCTATCACAAGCAAAGATAAAGCTGTTCGATGGAAGTTCGAACAGCTTGATGTCAACAACAATTCGGTTTGTCTCTATTATCAGTTGCTGACAATACTTATCATCAACTGTCTTGATCAGATCCATATTATAAGGGAAGGAAAGAGAGCAAGTCTCCTTATCATTTTAGGACAATTATTGCTTTTAACCGCCTTATCACGTTTTCTTTTAAGGATTGAATTTGAAAGCAGAACACAGAAATTAAAAGTTTTAGCGATTGGAACGGAAAGAGTGGAAATCATACCGAAATGAGCTACGCTTATTGAATAAAGTTCGAAAATGTGGGCGGAATTTTTTGCGCTTTTGTGATCGAGATGGGAATAAACAAATTAGATTGGATGAATGGTTAAATTGTACTATTTATGGTTAGTTTCTTGCTTATATAATTTGTGATTAGCAATGAAAAGTGAGAAAGGGAATTGTTGTGACCTTAATATAACTGGACTTAATCTTCAATAATTCTAATTTGAGTAATTACTTTTATATTCTGCAAATACTGTAAAAGATTTCAATTTTTTTTTTTTTTTTTTTTGTAGAGTATTTTTATAATTACATAAGAAAAGCTTAATTAAATTTTGCAAAATAATTTACAATAAATAATTTGATAATTCTACTGATTATTGCATACAAAATTCACAATAAGAAAAACGTTCAACAAAGGATTGTTTATCATCAAAAAAGAAAAAAATTCATCCTAATTATTTCAGTGGATATGACAGTATCATCAATGCCAGTAGCAAAACTAAGAGTAACGCCACGAAAAAATCCATTCCTGGATATCCTTCAACCGGATGATTAGATAACTGAGCTTATTCATCCTACTGATAAAAAGTATCACCAAAGCTTTAAAGTCCTCTCTATAGTTTTCATTATTCTGCTACTACTGCTACCACTGCTATTGTTATTATTACTATCATTATTATCATTATTATTGTTTATTATTATTATTATATTAATTATTATTATTACTACAGATCTATGAGGGGATCTATACTAATACCACTTACCTTCTTCTTTATATGTACGATGTTTTTCAACCAAAATAATTTGAAAAACAAAAAGTTTTAGTCAATAGAGAATATTAATTAGGAATGATAATATTGAAATATTAAGTAATTGGAGTAAACCATTCATCTACAAATGATATGCATTATTAAAGCAATTTTTTGTGAATTTTCAATGAAATGTATTTTGATAGGATAAATTTGAGAATATTCAGTCAACCTAATTCTTGAATCTGTATATTAAATGAGTAAGAATCATCTTAATTAGGTCACCAAAAAAAAAGTCCTGAAAGATGCAAACTCAAAAAAGGTTGTGCATCCTTAAAGGTGCATTTATTATGATCACTTTTATTATTTCTAAATATGCCCAAATAACATAATTTCTTCAAATTTTAGTATTAGGAAAATCCATGATTTAAACTGAAGTAAATAGTATAAATGATATTCAAAACAAAATATTGACCATGTAGTATCGATCTCGGTTACTGATGATTTGTTATTTTAAGTATTGTTGTATTTGATTGTTTGTATTATAGCTCATTGTTTTATGATGATTATAGCATTTAAATAAGTTTTATGTATCACGCTGTTATAGTTATAGATGTGTACTTGCATACGTGTGTCAATGCTTTTATAAGTTGTTTCGTTCTCAATATGAAAGTTTAAGAAAAACATATTCATTATGATCAATAGGAAACCGATCAATAAGACTGAAGGTTAAAGGTTAAAAGAGTAGTGTTTGAAATCGAAACCATAGCTTTAACTTAAATTTTAATTTCAATAAATCAGAAAATATCAAATGTTTTTCGAGGAAAATTTTCCCCAGTTTTAAAAATGATCACATTAAACGGGCAGCATTATGTTTGATTTGCAATAATTTCTAACGATGGATCTGAATAAAAATGTTTCCACTCTTGCACTAAAATTCACTGGACTTCACTCTTCAGTCAACCATTTATCATTGGTCGCTTCTTCTTCCTCCTTTCAGATATTTTTACGCATGAACATTAGCAACGAGATAAAGTGATTTAGATACGAATGCAGTTTTTCTAAAGTCTTCCCAATATTCCATTTTGTTTGAGAAATGATTTGTCCTTCGCATATTTAATCTAAAAACAAGTCAGTTTTTCACGAATAAGTGACGGGGAATATAGTGAAGTGCTGAAATATCAAAACTAAATATATAAAACACTTATATTCTTCCTTAACTTCTTGACTACAGTAACTGATAGCAGAATAGTAGGAAGTTACTTCTAACAATAATCAGCCATTTTTTTTTTCATCCAACGAAACGAAGCTTTTGAAGGTGACTACGCTAAATGACAAGAAATCCAGAGAATTAATCCCAAGTTTTAAGGATTAAATATTGAAACATCATAAGAAAAAGCTTCAAAACAGAGCATATAAGATATATTAAATTAAATTCTTAACACAAGGATTTCTAGAAACACAACCTCTGTAACATCCTCCTTAGTACTCAACTTACAGAATCAGCCTTTGACTATTGCTTGCTTCGCTATTTACATCTTACAAGTTTGAAATTCAAATATATCCAGCAAACTTCACCTCCAGTTGCTTGCCCATTAATTTAGATTACAATCACCCTCCGACCATATGAAAAACTTATTACTCTATGTGCAAATACACGCCGCTTTTCAACACAGATTTGCAAACGTGACTTCACCAGTCTTCCCACTTCGACAAATTCTCAAGAATAGTTTGTGTTTATTCCCAACGAAACATAGGGAAGAAGCAGTAATAAAAGTGTCTATTCTCATAAACGATACGAACAAATCATGAAAAAAAAAAAAAAACTATAATGTACAACTGTAAATAAATTAATATATAATAATAATAATAATATACAAAATCTAGCATGATAAACAAGTCAAGACGTTCAAGACGTTGGAAAACAACAGGTCTTCAAATTCTGGCTTTCACAACATTCGTTCACAAATACAGATGCACCCATCGATCGTAGACCATGGCAGCCTTGTTTCTCTTTTCTGCTGTTGTGGATACTTGACTGCTAGCGAAACAAATATTTTCGATAAATAAATTAGAATAAAAAAAACAGACACTTCCTGGTAAATTACTAGTGTGATAATTCTGAGATCATTTCGTGAAACCAGAGACGCACCCCTCAAAGAATTCAATCAATTCAATTGAATATTTTCTTTTAATGTCTTCATACTGCATACACCATTGTTTACCACTAGACTCGCTGCAACAACAACAACAAAAAAACTATCTATATTTGAAGATTAATAACATCAACTATCGCTGAAATGAAAAAACTGCCTCACATTGCTATTGCTTCCTATTGTGTTCTATGTGTCATCATGTTCAGTATACATAACTGAGTCAGCAGGAATGTTACATTACACAAATTGATTGAAGATCAGATCCTAAGAGTTAGGAACTTATAACTGCAATGAATATGTATATATCATTACCATAAAAGAAAACTTACTTTTCAACTAATAACGTCGAGTTTTCAACATTCCGTCCGTTATCACTAACTACACCGATAATTTTGATCTTTTTCTGCAAAGAAAACTATTACCATGGTAATATTTAATAAAGTTACAACTTTCATTTCATTTACTGCAAAACACAGTAATTCATTCCTGTAATTCATTTTTATAATTCATTTCTGACGGTAATCAACATGTAAAGCTACATTATCTCGTGCTTAGATAACTGAATTTCAAGTAACCGAAGATTCTGATCAGAAATTTCACTAAATCATCTAATAACAGTGATCTACATTCGTGTCTCGTTGTTAACATAACTATAAGCTGGATGAGTCACCGAATTAAGAGTTCGTTTAGAGCTTTCTGCACTAGGCTGAGCAGTTGCTTCAAGAGGCTCAATATCTGTTTCTTTGGATTCGAGGTGGCCTTTCTGCTTCTGTTTTTCATATGCTTCCACAATTAAAGGAACTTCTGCATTTATTCGTTTTGCTGGTTCCCATGTAGGCCTTCAGACAATTTCTATCAAAAAACTGTACAGCAACTATTTATGATTTATTCAAGCTGCTAGTCGTAAGAAATGCGGATAGAAAATGTAACTTATCCTATTTCTTGTTGGTAGTTTTCGAGATTTATGGAACTTACAGGAGATGAGAAAAAAAAAAAAAAAAAAAAAAACGTAGTTTACAGAGACACCATCGCAAAATAGAATTTGCAAATAGACAAAGCGATAGTTAAAGCAATCAGTTAAAGGTGATGTCAACCTATTCCAAAATTCCGATGTTTCAAAAAACCTTACGCCCACAAAATTTGATATAGCTTCTCCAAGCGAGAACCCCTTTTTTCATACTTCTCGGAGAGAATACGATCAACGCGATACCAAGAATTGTCTGCCATGAAATGGTTCTATCTTCCAAAGCTTTCAACCTAATTCTGAAATGTAAGCTGATAATGTTCCTTCAACGTAGGTTTCGTAGACAAAGCATTAAAAATTCACATTTCATTTATACTGTATATATCCGCCTTAGCGCCTGCTCCGCCCTCATATTATCCTATACTTATTTGATATCAAAACAAAAGTACGTAACATATTACAGCAAAAAACCTACAAAATACACGGATGCGCAAGGAATAAATCAACAGAACAGGACACTTCAAAATGATCTACTTTCAGAAACTTTATGTCAGTAGTACCACAAACACTTTAAGCATACCATAAGTATCACAAAATACCACAAATACCACAGAAACGTCAACCATACCATAACATATTCCACTACTCCAACGACCAATTTACAATAGCTGAAACTAAACCTTTAGCAACATTCAAATCTGAAAGTCGCGGGAAGCATGGCCCCACGGCCCGTAAAAATGATTGATGCAACGTCGAATACCATTAACAGATTTTGGAAGCGTACCACACCTTCCTCTCCCACCTATATAGGAGTGTGTTCTGAACGAAGTTTGTTGAGACTAGTCCAGAATCTAATTCTTGACTATATATTTGCTCATCTTGAATGATCTAGCAATAACGTGAACTGTAAGTGGACACCTTTCCCTCTGATTCTAAACAATTGTATAACATGACATTTAAGTAATACTGTCGAAAAACTAGCCGTAATAGAAGGAAATTTCATTTCATCTAAATTAAATGGGCGCAAAGATCTTCTTAAATTACTATCAGAAAAACAAAATCAATGAAAAATTCACCACTTTCAACCCAGATAAACTCTTTTTTCCTCTTTTTTCATCTTAATTCAACAGTACGAACAATATGTCACCCACACATCATTAAACGCACCGAAAAATATCTGAAATGTTATGTCTTCATATATTCACATACATAGAGGAAAAAACGCTACCACTCATTCATATTTATGCAAATTTCTAACAACTATGCGGTATTAGTCATTATTTATATCAATACATCTCTCATTGTCAATTTTTGACAAAAGGAAAGAGATAGGGGATACTTAACTCATATAAACCTTAAATTTGAATGGGTGCAAAATCAGCTAAAAGAAAATGAAGGAAAACAAAGGAAATGAAAAAGGAAGACGAAATGAACATCCGGGTCCCTGTTGATAAGTATTCCCCATCAAAAACAACACTTGCACAGCAAAATCCTTATCATTGGTAGTAATAAAATGATCATCGTCTTATCAACACTGCCATCACTATCAACAATATATATAATACCAATAATGTTAACTCCAACACATTTAGACATTGCTTGAAATAATTTTAGGTAAAATTATATATACACAAAATATGTAATGAACGCACAGATTTCAGAAAATTGTATAACAGCAAGCAATATAACATTTAAGTAAGTAGTGTTGTCGAAAAACCAGTCATAATAGAGGAAAATTTCATTTCACCTAAATTAAATGGAACCAAAGATCTTCCTAAATTACCATCATAATCAATGAAAAGTCACTTTCGACCTGGACAAACACTTTTTTCCTCTTATCGAGCAAAAAGAAAAAAAAAAAGAACAAAATAAAACATACAAAACAGTCGTTCAATTCATCCATCTGAAAACTGGAGAAAAAAAAAATTAATGAGACTGAAGAAACAGTTGTAGTACATTGCTGTAATTACTTAACCTTTTCAGATTTTTGGAATTTCAAGTCCCAAGAAGAAGCATTCTTGTTCCTACTTCGGTCCATTATAGCAGATTAATTATATCCTCAAAAAGAAATCCAACAGCATTAAGAAATCAAACACTTCAAACCTACTGTAGCCTCGATATATCTAGGAAGATTTATATTGCCCCTAGTACTATCTTATAGGTAGAGGAAATTTTCAATAAAATAAAACAACACAGATCAAGTTACGAGAAAGAACAAAAATAGCAAAAAGTTTTTTTTTGGGCAGTGCTTCGTATTTCACTTGTATTTCTTAAGCTATTTTAAAGCGATATTTCGTACAAGTGAACAGGATGGTACTTTCTCGTAGAAAAGCTTTATCATTTTAGTTTTTCTCAGTCTTTAGAAGTTTCGAACCGATGCCCAAAATAATTCAAATTAAAGAAAAATACAATATCCCATGCATTCACAAAAGATTCTTACGACGTTTATAATCTTCGAGACTTAGTGGTCTAGATGATCCTCTATTTATTGCTGATCGATTACTACCAAAACCAGGGTACCTTGAATTGACATCCATTGAAGTGAGTGACGGAGCACTGGAAGATTGTGTCATCGGTACTGAAAATGATAGTTTGAGAAAAGGAATAATGAAAAACACACTATAACTCTTCCAGATAAATCATATTTGTCTCCTAGTTAATCGGATAATGTCCGGTTTCTGTTCATTATTAACTGATTGCAAAGAAAGTCAAAATTTCACTAAACGCAATTTCTTTTTAGCACTCCATTATTTAATACTAAAAGTAAATCGTGCGCTGAAACTTAGATATTTTAATTCTTTCATGAGCATTGAAAAGACTCAATGAACGAAATATATTACCCGGTATGGCAATGTCAATATCAACATCGAAATTATGAGCATTGAAAAGATCAGAGACAGGTCCACTCGGGCCTCGCGCTCCACCAATACTGATTGCTCCTTTATGAGAGGATGGCTTTTGATCATTTAGCTCAATAACTGTCGAATGCGAGCTTGATGCAGAATCTTTACATAAAACATGAAATATTGCTAAAAAAAGAACGAAAAAAGTTTTATAGAAATATCGCGAGAAGAACTATCATTTAATAATCTTTCTTTCGCGAAATTCAGTCTATACATATTGTACGAAAATAACAAATTCGAATCAAAGCACTAAAAGTTCCTAAAGTAACATACGGAAGACTTCTTTATCAATTATAACTTGATCTCACTAGGTCCAAAAAAATTTTGAAGCAAATTTAAGAATATCAGACAAGCATCTGCAATGATATTCACTTCTAGTGAGCAATATTTTCATATTTTCCATAGTAAAATCATAAACAAACGATCTTTTTTAAAAGGATTTTTTAAAACGAGAAATGGTTATAAAATCAGAAAAGAAGCAACAAGTATATCAGTAAAAATACTTACATTCATCATTATTGCTAACGTCTACATCTCTCCTCTCATTCAACTGTTGAGTCATTTTATCTCTTCCAGGGACAGGCTTAAATTTTAAAAAATTGAAAAGTTGAAATAAATGCTTTATAGATAGTAAAAATTGGCAATCAGAAAAATCATTTATATTCTGTACTACGAAAATACACAGAAATTGATTGATATTGATAATATTATTCCAATTTCTTGAAACAGCAACCGCAAATTCAACATTCAAGTTTTACAGTAACCATCAGATCATTACAGTTGCCGCAAGTGTAAAAGTGATGCTTTTGGGAAGTATCTAAACACGAGAAGCAGAAAAATGAAACCTTCATTCGGGCATTCTTCCGAGTGAACGGATCATCTTGACCAGAAGTTTCAATATGCACTTGACCACTGAGAATAGCATCTTTGATGGCCTGTCTGTTACGTTGATTGATCCAACTAATACCACGAATGCTTTGTGAACGACGTCGTTCCTACAATATGTTTTGAAGCAAAAATAATTTGTGTGTCATAAATGTTTCTTTAATAACTTCAATTATCAGTTATTTAAATGTTTTTATATAGATAAATCAAATATAAGAATTGATAAAATAAAAAGACACTTCTTTGTTTGACTGTATTATTTAGTTTTGCATCAAAAAAAAAATCCTCAAAATCGTACCAATTCAGCGGCCCTTGTTTCCAAATCATCAATTTGTTGCTGTAATAATTGTACTTCCTCAACATTTCCATACTGTTCGGCTTCTTGCTGGAACATGAAAAAAAAATAAATATTGCTTTAGCAAGAAATTCCGTTTGCACAGAAATATATAGAGAGAACAGAACGAGGGATAGATAGGTAAGAGAGAAATTCAAGACTAAACGTGACAGACGTGATAGCTCACCAATTTCATAAAATCTTCATCACCTGCACTATTAGTTTTACCACTTTTTTCTTCTGGTAGGGAGGAAGGGCTGAAATGTTTGTAGTACAAAATAAGTTCATCAGATTAGCCAGTATCAAGATGAAAAGATCGAAAGTGAGAGCGATATTCATAATTCTCAAGAACAAACAAAAAGGATATAAGTTAACTTTTGAAGGATTTAATAAGAATTTGGTCAGTAAGACTCTTTTCTTCTCGAATATTCACTCAAACATATTTATAGAGCTATTTTAAGCTTATATTTATTTTGCTCCATTGAAATGAAACACAGAATGATGGATGCATATCTTGAATATTTTCAGCTCTAATTTTAGCTCAACACTTTAGCAGCAATTTGATCGAAGCCACTGTCACATCAAAAGTCACAAGCGAATTTGTTATGTAGTTGAGGTCAACAGTATCAAGTTATGCCTCAGTGAATTTACATTATCGACTTCAATTCATATATCAAAAAATAAACTCAAATAATGTTTTCTTGGATAAAAGAAGATAAAAAAAGAAACAATTTTTTTTTTCAATTTTTAAAACTCTAGAACTCTATAAGATAGAGCTATATTAGCCATGTCAGTAAAAAATTTTTCAAAATATTAGAACTTTTTAACAACGTAATTATAGTCAGATGTAAGAACATGAGTTACATTTACCTATAATACGTACATAATTATTCTTTTCCAATTTTAAACCTTAAAATATTCCTTTAATCCATTTGCTTTCTACTATTCACTTCTCAGAAATTAAGTTAGATCTCTAAGGTGTCAGAGTTCTTTGATTACTACTTAAAATTAATTTTAGAAGAAAGAAATGATCACGACAGTTCTCGAATTTGTGTGCATTTATAACAACAACAAAAAAAAAAAAGATGACTGCATCTGCATTAACATTTTCATATTCTAAATTATCAATTACGATAGCTAAAAGGATGAGGTAATCCTTTTTTCTTGTCTCAACATTAGGTGATCATCTTTTGTTTAGGAATTTATTTCGATAAAAATTTCAAGTGTATAATTTCTGTATAAAAATAAATTTTCATCCCAATTTGCACATGAAATGGTAACATTTGTTCATCAGAATGTCAAGATCTCCACAAGCCTTATAAGTACTATCTTTGCTTAATTCAAGAGATGGCTTATCTCCTCTACCAAATTTCAACATTCCTTTCTCTTTTACAATGTAATCTTTCTCTGAAAGATGAAGTAAACTGCACCTGTCACTCACTTTATCATCATTTACAAGAGTAATCGTCGATAACCGAGACAAAATGGTAAATAAAAATGAATTGATTCATCACTCATTTAAATTGCAAGGTGGAAACTCTTTAAATTAATGAGATTTATAAAAGCAAACCTGAAATCGATCTATATACAGTCCCTGAATAAGACAAAATTAATATTCAAATTTTATGTTATTCAGGACTGAAAGGAATTAAACACCCATAAGTCATAAGTTGACAATATACATTTGCAGATAACATAACAAAAACCGGTATCCATATTTATGGCACAAGCATGACACCCTCTGTTTCATAACCTCAATATCAAATGTTATTTGTCGTGCGGCCAAAACCAATTCAGTCATTCGATAACAAAAAGTTCTATGATCAGACAATCAACACTCACTCAGTTACCCAGCTCTCACGGCTATTGATCACTAAAATTTCACAGGAAGATCAAAACAGCTGGAAAACAAAAGTTTCGTAGTAACATAATATGCTCAGTCAGGCATAAAAGGCAAAATATATACGAAATTAGCCATTTTTCCCCTTCTAATTACCTAAAGTTCCAAAGTTACCGAACTGAAGAGCAAATATCTTAATTTATTTGTTTTTGTTTAACTTCACAAATCATTATTCATATATGTTTAACAGTTTTTTATTTTTACCACTTCATTTTTTTTTATTAAAAGTTATTCCCATGAATTATTAGCCTACATAACATCAAATTATTATGCATAGCTAGCTACTCTTTTCATAACCTTAAATCCTTAACACTATCCGGAAGTAAGGTTATCTTCAACACATGTGATGCAACTTAGAGAAGTCGTAATAGAAATTGTTTAAGTCAGTAAAATTCGAATTAAATGATGATGATGAAGCAATACTAATATAAATTATTCAAAGGAATAAAAGGACAAATCACGAAATATAAAAGCATTATACCAGTCAAAAATACAACGAAGTTTTCCTTACATTTTCTGAAATTATTATTCATCCATCTCGCTCCCTCCCTTTTCCATTTTATAACATTCTTTTTATATCGCTCATATATTCTTATATTTTTACAAAATTTTAGTTATTTGCAAATGTTTTTTATCGCTTCAAAATTGAAAAATTGCTGTCAATTTTTTCGTTCAAGGAGATTGAATGATGTAGGAAGAGGGTAAATGTGTGCATCCTTTCGGTCGCCATTCTATCACTTTCTTATGAAAAATAAATGAAAGGGCAAATTGCTTACAGTCTTCATGTATCACTATCATTTAACAAAAAAGTGCGGAATTTAAAAAAATGTACAGCAGACTGGGTCGAGCTTTAGTGAATGATTTCGCTAAATTAATATTTTTATAATATAATTAATGACATCTATTAACAAATACAGCTTAATCATATTTTAGCAGTATCTACGTATACATCAATGTACTGATAGTAAAATTGGCAAGATCTCTATGCAAGAGGACCATCCAGTATAACTTCAGATAAATCAAACTGCAGTACTAAGTGGTGGAAAAGAAGAACTCCTTATGCTGCTTTTTCTCACTAATCATTCCTTTTCTCCTCTTTCAGTTGAGAATATCTGACCTCCAAGTAGTAGCATTCTTACCCGAAAAATATTCACTGATAACAAAAATCATGTTATCTGCAGTGTTCATATAGATAAAATATATCCTACATCCGGAAAGAAGGAAATGAGTTCACTCATCAATTATTTTCGGCAATTCCAGATCATCGATCAGTAGAATTGGATAGACTATGGGACGATTTACATGAATCGTAGCTTTCGGAGATACAAATGAATGAGGTTTGGAGACCGTTGACCATTCGTATAAGAGAAATTGCTCGTGTTATGAAAATGAGAACAACTCATATCTCCTCTTTATCTCCTATTTTATTTCTTCATTCACTCACATATAAACAATAAACAACATTTGCTTTTTTTGTCTATTTTCTTTTGTACCGTTTATATCAAAATCTTCAGAAATATTTTAAGAAATGCTTGTACTAGTCTTAAAATCTCATTAATTATTTCTGAACTACTACGTGCGTTGTCGAGATCAAAAACAAGGGAAGTTGTTGCGCTCACGTGATGATAGTATGGATAACATATTAACTTCCTTTCTTCCTGCCGATCAGATGGACATGAAGAAGCATGTAGCTCAAATGGGGACACTGATAAGAGACTGATATTGTAGTACTGCTGCTTGTTCTTCTTAAGGATTACGTTCTGATTTACTTCAGTTAATTACCTTCATCATCACAATAGCAAAAGAGGTCTAGAAAAGAGGAGATAATTTGGTTGATATGCTGAAAGTACATATACACGTCTTGCAATGACTCCCTGTTTCAAGGTTAATTCGTTCACTTTATACGGAAATCGGCCCGGTTTATTCATCATTCCGTTAACCTTTGTTATCTTATTATTATTATCACTTTTGACATTGCCGTAGAGATCATGGACACGAATACTTACGGGAGAAATTCCTTAACTAATCAAATGAAATGAAATAAATCAGTCTCACAAAGAACTGCCATCATACATTCTTTCATCAACACAGTTACTCATTAAGCGCTTAATATTTTTTTCTAGTACTGACGCAACCGTAAGTCAGAAAAGATGTGAATGGACTATATAGAAGATACTTAAAACAATTTCGTTCAACCGACCTAATTTAGACTTAGATTTAGAATAATTTGGATTGTCGGCAGTTCTAAATAATCTCACAAAAACCTTTCTTTCATATTAAAATCCTTTGCTCGACCATAATTTCTGGCAAGAAAAGATCAAAAACAAGAAAATAAATTTAGAATAGATCTTCAGAACACCCAATTAAAAAAAAGAACAGATAAAAATAATTTAGCTGATAAACATGCCATTTATCATCCCATTTCATCGCCGCATATTCTACTACGTTACCTCCATGTTTTAACTGACATATTTAGGTTACTTACCATATCTCTATTGTACCTTTCATGATCATTACTATTAACACCACTAGTTTTATTGCTATCACTCCTACATGCCATCATTTCCGTTATATTCTCGTCAATGAGGATATCCCTAAAATTTCCATAAATTTGTTCAATTTTATATTCGCACTGTTTAGCTATAACAACAGCAATAGCAATATCAGGAGTAGTAGTAATATCGATCTAACCATTGAATGAATAAAAAATACCATTTAAAAATACCTAATTTTTTTTAAAGCGTTTTAACTCACTAGAAAAAAGTTTTGCTTCTACAAGATAAAGGAATAGCATATATGAAAATTATTCCATGTACATGGGATTATTTTTAAATCACTAACTTCTGTCCATGAATTAAAAGTCATAGAGTCAGGATGAGATGAAAATCAAATAGAACTAAACAATTTACTGCTTATAATCGCTTGTCGAATTTTACTAACTATTAATGATTTAAATAAATTAACCATCTTATTGTAGAACTAATATTCCGCTCTGTAAATTCAAAAATTGATAGCACTTTTGAGAAAGAAATCTGACCAGCATGATTCAAAGAACCGTTATGAGGTACGATCTCTCGCTTTTGTAGTATGACCGCATCTTCAAAACAGTAAATTTCAAATCATCCTGTTACTAACAGTCATCAACTGTATAAACATACTTCAGATCACAGCGAAGATGAATAATATATTACTTAACAAGTTTTTTTAAACATTAATTCTACATGTCATCTATTGATTTACTGATGAGAACCAATTATTAATGCATTAATGCAGGAATGAGAACAGAAAATTATCAACAGAACTGAATATTTAACTAGAATCAGCATGTCACCTCTATTTCTTACAAATTATGTAATTTTTTCTCGCTTCCTTTTCTAATTGCAAAATCCTCTCATATCAAAATATTCTCAAAAATCTTTATAGTTCAGTAGTTTGTTTTGAAGTTTTTTGAATTCAGTTTAACTTAATCTGCACTACTGAGTCCGAAATACAATGAAGGTCTTGCAATAACCCCGACCCAGTCTCTCTTTTACCTTAGAGGCACTCTTTGATATTGAATTCACGATACCATTCTTAAATATAACGACGAGCTATTGCAAAACTTTCATTACAAACAATTCTACTACTAGCAGTAGTAGTGGTAGTAATAGTATTGGTAGTATTATTGGTGGTAGTAGTAGTAATAGTAAAAACTGGTAAATGAGAGAGATGATAAATAACACAGAAAGGAAAGAGACTATGTGAGTATAATGGATGAAGACGAGATGGAAAGGGACTGCTAATCGGGTGACAGGTTACTTCAATTTCTACCCCATTAATCTATAACACATACTGCATTTTGTAACCTGATGTGCTTAAATAAAATTACTACCTTGATCACAGTTTTGTTGCATTTAAGTATTTACTTAGCATTTACTTCGTTTACATTTCTACTTACACAACCAATATTATTTCACTTCCGTTTAAAATTTACGTGAATCAAGGTAGGCTATTAAAATAGGTCTATTTGAATCAAATCAACCTATTAGAATACAACCTCGAACTACTCCATATTTTGTATAAAAATATATTTAGAACAAAATTCGCAGTAAAAAAATACGAGAAAAGCGACAGGAATTATAAATGAAGTATTTCAAACTGTATAAGTGTTTTCCAACTCATTATCGTCGTTCAACTAATAACCAATTTATTTACGGAGGACAACTTCTGCCATTGCACGTCTTTTCCTTGACGAAAGTAAAGAAGAAAAGGAATACTTTCGTTACATTCCAAAATTGACCATTTCGATGGTACGATCTCTCAAACTTTCAAATAACTATCACAGAGTTTTCAATATTCCATTAATGAAATAGACAAATAAGTAAACAAAACCACGACTGATATCACTATCAATATCAGCAATTACAGTAAGCATGTACTGAAAAGTAAAGCAATAAGACAAAACAACACTTTTAAGATAAGCTGAAATGAGAAGCAAAATGTGAAGACCATCTTCCATGTATTTACTTAAATCTAATCCACACTCCTCCCGATCTTTCCTTACACCCAATCATCTTTGAATATCATTTATGAATTCCTGACTCATTTCTGTTTGTTAACTAATTTTAACAAAAACTGCCCATCTACAACATCGCATTAGAATTATGCCACTCCTAAGTGATGCTTTGCATTGATTTTCTAAAAATGTTGCAATTGCTCTCTCTTTCCTTTAACCACATCAAAATTTTTTAGAGTTTTACCAACTGGAAACCTAATGAGTAATGGACTACAAAAATGCTCTGCCACCTTCTCGAAAGTTCAATTTTAATTAATTATATAGCAGCATAGAACTGAATAACGTGCAATAGAGAATCTGAACTCTGTGCACCCTACCAATAGGAAACAGTGGAAATTATTTCAATTAGCCACAATTTTTTGTCTGACCCTAAGCTAAGTGAAACAGGATGATGCTAAGTGTTCCTTTCGCTCTTTCTTGAACTTCCTTTTTACATTCCTTCATTACAGCGGCTCTTTGAATTGTTTTTTGAAATCACTGCCTTCATAAAATTTTCCTAACTGGTCCAATCTTTTCGATGGGAAACTCATGATACCAATAATTTTTCTTCTAACATAATGGACTTGTGAAGATACTTTATCAAGAAATGTTTCCTTTCAAACTGAAAATTCTTTGTCCTTGATAAAAAAGTAAAACAAAGGCTGAACATAGAGATACATGACCCTTGTACTCTTGTGTTACAGGAAATTCTTAAAAGAATTATTAACCAATAGTCGATTAGAACGACGAAACGTATTAAAAAAAAATACTGCGAGTATAAATGACAATGTTTTTTGTTGGCTGACTGCAAGACGAAGAACCGGTCTCTCTGTACATGCAAAGGATTTTATTGGTTCAAATCTGTTGTTATGCAGAAGAAGGTAATGAAACCATAGGCCCAAATCTTTCACCTCTCTTCTCTCTTTTCTGTCCAGTATCTTAAATAGATCCATTATCTAATACCATTATAATTTCCTTTAATAGTTAATCATTTTTTCCCACAATATTTCTTAATAGTGTATTTAAAGTTAAAAGGAAACCCGTGTTATACTCCCACCTCTCTCTACCATACATACCGCCCGCCCATCGCTTATTCTACCTCATGGCCTATCTATCTCACCCTGTTTAGTGCAATACCATTGTTGGCGTATCATGGGCAAACTAAAGAATTTCTATATACTTTAATTCATTTCTCATCAAAAATCGCTCATTCCACTGTTAAACCGCCCCTTTTCCAATGTGCTCCACTGCTGTCCAAAATTTCGCAGTTTGTTTATATCGCAACGTTTGGTTTTGTTCCATTAACAACAACTGTACACACGAATTTACCACTATTACTCTTTCGAATTATCATAGCTATTCCTCATTCAAGATACTTACTTCCCGCAATTCTGCTCATTAAAAATACCGTGATGCATTGAAGGTTTCAAGCATCTCAGTGGTATCAACATAAATAAATGAATGAGAACAAAAGAGGAGTACGTCTATAGATCTAACTGCTGCCACTTATCTAGAAGTGCATCTAACATCTATCGTTTACCAAGTCCAAACTATGACATAACAATGGCATCTTCCAAGATGTCATTATTACTAAGATTTCCAAGATTAAAAACATTATATTATTCATTGCATTCTTTCAGCAACTCATATTTATTTTTCTCTAAGTGACCACTGTAATTTCTTTTGCATTATGGAATCCTCATATTGTCACCTCATTTTTTGCTCCAAATTCTGAAATTCGGTTCAATGCCCTCTTCATCATTATGATATTTCAGCTTGGTACATATTAGTTTTTAATTCATTATGAGACGGATATATTTAAAAGCAGTAAAAATCTGGAAATCTAAAGGGACTTTTTTACTTGCACTTACTGTTTAATATTCATGCAATTCCATAAATTAATTCAAAGTAGAGATCAAAATCTTTTAAAATTTTAATGTATTTCTTTTTTTAAAAAGAAAAAGACATAAATTTGATAGAAACTGTACCGTTGTTAAGCGTACAGCTAACATTCGTGCTTGGTAAATGTTTATCCTAGTATCTTGTCCCAATCTGTTCACAAGAATAAAAAGCAAATTCGTGTGAACTAGTTTACCAGGGAAGCAAATAATGTAGCGATATTTGTAATACCGAAGTAAGTACTTGGTGAAAAAAAAAAAGCTAAAATAGAAGGATATTTAAGCGTATGGTATAATATTTTTTACTGTTCATTTGTTTTCAGCTGCTATAAGTCATCGTCCAAAGTACTGTTCAAAAACAATTACATTCTTGTGCTTTCATCAAGAATTTCGCTTTTCTCTTGAACCAAAGAGTTGAACAGGAAACGGGAAATTTTAAAAGAGAATATACAATTTTGAACCAAAACTTCTTTACAGCTTTATATATTTAATAATTGGAATTATTCACATCAAAGCCTAATCTTACCAAACTTATACCTTTTCTTTTCTTTTTTTTTTCATATATATTAATCTGCTTAGACCACTATACTACTCTACATAGTACCATAATAACGTCCCAGAATGCGATATTCTTGTCATCAAATAGAACCACCCAAGACCTTATCAGTAACAAACATTTAAAGATGTTAAAAGCAGAAGATCTAGAACAGCAGCAACCAGAAGAAAAGAACCTAGCAGCAATTGTCGAAACGACAACTGTGGAAAATATAGCAACGAATGATCGCGGCGAACCACAGTCACCCCCTTCATATTCATTACCAGCACCATCCAGGTCTTATTTTCTTCCTTCCACAAAAATTTAGGTAGTAATTTTTGTTCATCATCGGATTATTTCGAAACGATAAAATTAAGTAGGAAACTATTTAACACCAACAGATATACTTGATTACTTATCTGCCATCATTTAATTATATGAGAACGTCATTCAATTGTATATGATAATTAGAAGGAAACGGAGATGGAACATTGTCACTGTTATTTTCTTCATTTTTCTATTCATCCTTCTCCCTTCTGTACCTTGAAGAGATATAGTACAATGACTGATCGTTTCAATATTACAGCCCGAAACATCACCAGCAGAAACGATGTTTGAAATTTGATATGTCTAGTAAAATACAAATAATTTCGAACAACCGTCAAGGACAACTCAATACAGCATTCCTTGCTACCGTTCCGGGCGTCTTAAAAATTGCCGAAATTGTAGGTATTATTTTCGTCAACAGGAATGAATTATATCTTTATGAAGATGACAACAAAAACGCTCAAAGAGAGTTGGGGAGCCACAAGGAAAAATTACGCATAATTCTTCTTCCCTTAAATTTTCCAGTTCTAAAAAATAAGTTTTAAATGTTTCATATATATGGCTACATCATCCATGAAATCTAAGCTTTAATTACTTTCTCTTCACATTATCTCAGGAAATCTAATTTTATCTTTGCTGGAAAATGATTTTTATAAAAGCGCATTAATAAAAGCTTATGTAAAGACATACACTATTCCATTCTATGCTAAGAATACAACGTGAATATGTACCAAAAAAAAAAAAAAAAAAAATTATAGGTTTTATCGTTTATGTCATTCATATTGGCAATTTGTGCAGACCGTAGTGCTACGACTGCAGCTTGGACTGAGAATATCTCATTCTCAGTTACAGTCGTCATTTCTGGACTGCTAATCGGTTATGTCTGTTTCCCACATTTGACAATCAAGGATGAACTGACCAGAGAAGGACTTATCATCGCGGTATTATTTTTTGGGTTTTGATCTTTTGAGCCTAACACAGTGTTATTTTTTTAGCAGATTCTGAATAGGTTATTGACTAATATGCACTGCAATATTATTGCAAAAATTCTAGAAGACACAACTAACAGTATCTAGATAAAGGATTTTTTAAAGATTCAGTTATACAAATTTTACGACTTGAATATCTGACATTACGTAAAGACTTAGGCATTCAATACTATATTGAGAGTATTTTTCATTCTATGGTATGTTTTAAATACAAAAAACAGAAATGTAATTTTTGATGCACTCAGCGTTTTACGAACTATTATAAACTAAACATAAATAAGCTGAATTTTTTTTTAATTTTTAGGAGCTTATATTCTACGGTACCTCAGCACTATTATTCTTCATAGCAATATGGCTTATGGTACATCTTTCGGCAGGTTCGATAACTTATGGACGTGGTTCTGCTATCATGGACGCAGTAAATTTATTTTTAAAACGCAAAAAAAATTTTCAAAACTGAAAAATTATTTTTTGGATATGAAAGAGCTCATTATCTTTTAAAGCATAATGTTTCATTCTTCAATAATTATCGGTATGAATTTGATTTAAGGTAAGTAAAAAATGCGAACTACCCATAGTTTGGGTGTCTCTTTTAATATTTTGTAATATTATTTTTTTATTTGCCATTGTATCTGTTCCACAATACAGACGATTTTAAAATTCTAAAATTATTACAGATAATATGTGTTGCACTGACAATACTCTTCGGTATTGAAACATTTGTTAAACTGGCAGCATGGCGATGCGAAAATGAACCCACATCCCGAATCATGCAAACAACTAGGCCGGCAACCGAATCAAGTCGATATTACGAGTCAAATGAAGTATTACAAAGGAATCAGGGATCTGAAATGGCATGAACTAAACTGTCTACGAGAAGCACTTGCTGTTCTATAATTGGTATCGTTATTACTAGTAATTAATCTGGGATAAAGATCTTTAAATACTCTAAGTTAATAGCTCTAAAACTAAGTAGAAGGTTCTTGGGACGTATAATCCCGACTTTTTCCTCCATGCCGTGATTTAAAGTCCACGACAGTAAAAGAAAAGAATGACATTTCTTAAAGTTGAGACTTAATTGTCTAAAATTAATACAAATTAAATCAGTCACTGATTGGATTCTAAATAAGTGATTCTGGATATTCTCTGCTGTGATTTTGTCGATTCTACCAATAGTATTTTTTTTCTCTTGAAATGTTCCATACATATTAAATCCCTTGTTTGAAAAAAAGATGTTTTTCCACTCTTGATTAACAGTACAATTCAAATTAAGTTTCTGCAACTTTTGAAACAAGTTATGCGAACATTCATTAAATGTAACTGTGAAAGCAAAAAAAAAGGACTCAAGAAACGACCAGGATTTTAGAGTGATAATGCAGTGAAGACTGAATAGAAGGAAATAAAATGAAAGGAAAAAAAATTTGGGGAAATGAAAAGAAATAAAGACCGAAAGCCCAGATTTCATTCAGAGATTGATACAAATAAAAAAAGATAAAACAAATTACGCAACATTTTAAACATTTTATTCAGGAGTTTTTTCTGCTCCACTTATTTAATCTCTTGATGACAAATTTCAATGCGATACTGTCACTATTGCTAAGAGTTGGAAAACATATAGAAAGTGGAAGCCGAAATTTATTTGAAATTTCGAAAAGTAGGAAACTCCATAATTTTTAGCTATCCGTTACCACTATCATAGTTTAAATGATTATATCTTACATCGTCCGTTTCATGCCCAACTTAAACTTTATTACGGAAATAAGTAGAAATTTTGTTCTTGCCAAAGCAAAAGAAAGAATCCAGGAAACTCACATCAATAAATAACATGGAATTGAGTGTCACATTAATAAAAGGAAAAATTCAAGTTACTTTAAAAAAAAAACTAACCTTGAGCTTGATAAGATTTCCTTTTTCCAAAGCATAGTTAAGAGGAGCTTTTTGAAACCTCATTTTTTCTTGAACCATCTGTAATTTAATAAATATTTAATCTAAGTTTATCAAATTCTCTTAGTTCATTTTCTGGGAAAAGTTTTTTTTTTAATTTTTGTACAAACGAATCCACACATAATTAGGTTCCAGATGTATTAAGAAGGAATCTACTTTTCATCGAAATACACGCGAAGTTTGAATGACACATGGCACTTACCAAACTTGGCTATTTCTTAGTAGCACTTGGCCTATTATATGAAAAAAATTAACCAGTTCGATGTCTTTGTCTGTATAATTATAATTGACAGCTTTCTGAATATCAGCTTCCTTCTTTTCTACTTGATCTATTGTGAGGATTGAAAGATTCTGCAATAATTTATTGATGAAATTCTCGCTAAGTTACTGCCACGCATCTAAGTTGCACATTATAAAAAATTCTCTAAAGTTCTAAAATACATATTAAAGCTTGACGAAATATAGAGTAAGATTTACAATTTGTCAATCTATTTATTCTCTATTTAGTGATAAAGAAACTCCAGGTAACATTAGAAAGTAAAAAAAAAAAAAAAAAAAAAGAAATTTCAACACCTAAATATATTTTAAAAGTAAAAGTTAACACAGGAAGTTGTGATGAAATGGAAGCAATTAAGAAAGGTATTGTGGAGAAGAGTCAATTGTCGAAATCCAATTTGAAATCCTTTACTTCCAAATAACATTTGAAAACCACTTCTTATTGATTACTACACAGTCAATGCTGATTAGAGCATTAAAACGAAAAACACAACTTACATTGGACTTCATAGCATCGTACCATTTATTGAATTCGTGGTTAGTGAACTCTGAATTTGAAACAAATTCTAGGCGATAAACACGTTCTTCTTCACCATGTTTTAGCTTGAGTCCCTTATTTGTTCGCGTATTCTCCAACTGATAAACTTTGGCTGTTTCGACAACATCCAGAATCTGAGCTGCCTAAAATATCCTTCGTTAAGGTTCTTAACATTCAGAATTCAAGTTACTCAAATTAACAAAAAAAATACAACACCATTACTTACATTTAATGCAGTAATTCTGCTTATATATTATTTTGAGATTTGTCACTTTAATTTCCCAAAATAACACTCAATAAAACAGGTGCTTACTTCTGGAAATGCAGAATATGAGCAAACAAACAAATACATAGTTAAATCTTACACGATAAACACTACGGCCTTCTTTATTTCTTCCGATACCGATGCGAACAAAGCATCCAATCACTGTTTTGTTGAAAAAAGGTGCATGAACAATTCTAGAAATTTTGAAACGAGATAAACGTATCCTTGCTAAGTCAGCGAGGCAATTCACCTGTAAAAGATGCAGACATAAATATAAGTACACTTAACAGAAGGCACTTCACACTGCAATAAATTTGTCACTGATGATATTAATGATCTATTAATCTGAATTACTCACACCAATAATGATGAATAATTAAAATCTTTCAGTAATTTGGTGGAATTTTTACAAATTTTATTTAAGGAATACTTACATAAAATTCGTTACCGTTAGTTCATCTACACCAGCAACTATAATGATCCAACTGAATAACTAGTTTACCCTATTCAAAGAAGTGTCAAATTCCTTTAAATAAAAAATTGTAAATTTTTTATGTTAATACTTTCAAATACATAAAACGGTATGTTATGGCGCGAAACTAATGTGACTCACCTCTCTCTTTTTTTCTGGTGATGGACTACGAGTTCTACTTTTACTTGTACTCCTACTTGTAGATCTACTGCTCGAGCGACTTGACGAGCTGGAACTCTTTTCATAATCATCATCGCTACCATCATTCCCAAACACTTCATCAATATCCAGTTCTGACTTATGTGACTGTGTCTTTTTCTTCTGAGCAGCTGGAATCAAAAAACTCAATCTGTGAAATTCTAATCTAAACCGCTCCATGAACTGCGCAGATTGCTATAGAAAACTCTACATTAAAAGATGAAAGACACCAAGTAATTTGAAAAGATGTCCGTTATGAGCACAGATAACAAACCTTCTTGTTTCTCTTTTCTTCGACTAACAAGATCAGCCATTGCATTCTTCTGTTTCTGCTTTTTCTGAATTTCTGATGGACGTTGAAATTCATCGTATTCCTCGCTGTTATCTTTGTCATCGTTCGTAAAACCAGAATGCAAAACTGCTGTAAATTTGAAATATAAGCATATTTCTTTGGAGACGTAATAGAAGTCAATCAGAAGATATACTCTATGACTTGACTCTTGAATCATAATTCGCAACGTACTTATTTAAATTTACAAAATTTCAGTTCTATCTCTTCTTATTCCATTCTTTCTATTTGTTTCAGCTTATCGTTTTTTTATTAATTGCTATAATTTGATGTGACCCATTTTCACCTAAACATATTCGTCCCTTTTCCCATTTTTTTTCAAATGAGTCTAATCACACCAGTGTATCCAATTTTTATTAAACATTATAATTTAGGCACTTTCGTCGGAAAAATTTCAATACCTGCACCAATTTGATTTATCTTATTGTTATTTGTGAAGAAAAAAAATTTTCAATAACTCAAAAGATTTACACACTGAGGCCTCAGTATATCAAATTATACCATTTTTCACTGAATGATTTTACTCTCTCCAAACAGTTTAATCTTTTTATATAATTAATAAACTACCTACCCACACTTCCATCTGCACCATTTCGTTCATCGATGTCACTTTCAACGATCTTTTTTTTACCTGCAATAATTTAGAGATGAAAAAATTTCTTTGCTTTGATAAATGAAGCATGAGATCATTCGTTCGTAACAAAACTCATACCATCTTTCTCTCGTTTCTTTTCTTTTTCCTTCTTTTTCTTATTTTTTTTTGACAAACCTGCGATGTCTTCTTTTTGAGCTTTAATTTTCTTCTGGATTGCATGCCTAAAAATGTGTTCACAGTTACAACCGTGTATAAAATACTCATTCTTCTTTATTAGAGCCACGAATAACATAAATAGATGTATTAATAGAATAGCTTACCTTCTCAACGCAACTGAAAAATTTACACCAGCTCTAAAACTAACTGAAAATTCCGAAAGTCAAATACCTAGCGCGTAAAATTTCTCGTTGCTCAACACGTTTGAAAATTTCAGCCTCACGATCTTTTTCTGTCATTTCTTCTAATCGACGCCGATCTTCTTCATCCAAGAACATATCATCATCGTATTCATCAACTAACGACTTCTACAATCATTACTTCGTGATAGCTGAATATGCTGCTATCTCACTTAACTTTTCTTAAACACTTAACATAAAACTGGATCAACTATTAAACACTATTACATCGATTTACGAATAAAATCATAAGGCCATCTTCCGCTTACCCTGTCACTGTCGTCACTGCTATCTTCGTCGCTATCAGTCTGAGCACGAGTTTTTTTGCTCCGACCTTTAAGTTTTTTATCAGTTTTACGTTTTCTACTGCTTGTCGCAGCTTCTACATCAGAATCCGAATCTTCTTCTGATGTACCTGAAGAACAATAAGAAGTTTGTCTTTGGAATGTGTAGATTACAAGAGAATATGAATCATTGACTAGAATCCAGAATAAATTCCAGCAATGTTCCTACTAGACAATATCAGTAAATCATTCTGTCTTTATCGATAATCGTTTATACAATTGCTTCAAGAGGTGAATTCACTGAACCTACCACTCTCGATCACTTTTTTGTTTTGATTAGTAGCACGAGTGGAACGCCTTGCTTTTGTTTGTCTATTATCCTCATTATCCAGATTCAATTTACCTTTTGCTGATGATTCCTGAAGCATCAAGAATATCTGGTTTTAAATATATATATATATATATATCAAGCATAAACATCACAAGAAAAAAATTAAAGGAATAAAACAGCATGAAAAATAGATACAGAAGAAATCTTCCTCTAAATAACATCATTTCATTTTATGAGCATTAGAACGTTACTCGTAAACAAGCTATTTTAATTACCTTAACTTGTTCATCGCCAGACGAAGCAATTCGTTTCATTTCGATGTCCGATATCGAATTAGCGTCTTCACCTGATACATCATCACTTTTACTGCTCATTGTTAAAACTGCAACGAGCATTACTACCACATCAAAGTAAATTTGTATGTGTAAGGATACATAAAAATTAACATTATACTTTTATGTCACTACCATAAATAAATTTGCACTTGCATTTATTTGGTAACTAAGAACAACTAAGGCAAATTAATCATATTAATTAAAATGCGCACACGATTCTCATCCGCAATACACATTTTAAATTTAAGTATGTTTCACTATTTCTTGCAAAACTTAAGTGATTTAGATTCGTTATAGAGTAAAAAAGATGTAATGATTTTTAAGCCTAGAAACCTTGCAAATAACAAAAGAGATTGCAGAGTCAGCCAAGACAATGATGCTTAGCCTTGATGAGAAGTATAAAAATTGACAGCAAAAGTTCAATAAATCCAGATATTGGTCACAAATAAACCTGAAGCGAAAGAGTAACACTGCTTAGCAAACGTGAAAAAACATTTCCATTGAGGCAGTACTTCTCCTTATCCCAAACGTAAGTAAACACACATACACAAGTAAAACCATGACGGAAACCCATCTCCACAAAATTATTTGCATATCCTAACACTTCGGTTTGTGAAAACATCTATCTCATAATTTCAAATTGCTGCTAATATCTTCCCGTCGACACGTACGTATTTTAGAAAGTTATGTTGCCTCCCATTGCACGTACAGATGCATTTTCCTGCAGTTATGTAGGCACTTTGAAAAGTTAATTTTCCGCCAAATGCAATTACATAAGCACGTAACTATACCGACGTTATATTCGACGTCAACTTTAGTTGAACTAAAATAATGTGCGTGCAAATTAAATTTTATTCTTCATATATAATACGTTAAAAAATGAAGAGATTACACACGTAGTTTATAGAAAGGTCAAATCCGTCCGTAGTGCAAACGTAAAGGTCAAGACGAATTGCAGTAACTTTCACCGACCTCATTGTTTCATAGGAGACATGTACCTTTGGCATGGAAGGGTTTCATTTCTTCACTGTCTGTACCACATTTACGCCATCTGCGTTATGCACCTTAAGGGTCATCCGCCCGTCACTATGGTGCAAGTTCCCGGCTATACGGACATCGAAGTCATCTCTTCTATTCTCAGCCAGAATCAGTTTCAGTTAATTCTGGCTCATGAAATAAGCGCTGCAATGAACTGGCAGCGCTTATAATTTGAGGTTCTCGTTCTTCTCTGTTTTTCCCTTCCGACATTATTCCGAAGATCCGAACTTTCTTCCTTTTCAGTCTAGAATGTCCCAACTCTGCCCATAAACTTCTAATCCACAGTTTCTTTCACAAAAAACTCGAAGTTCACCGTACCTATCCATAGCTTTCTCAATGATTTTATTTAAATTAATTTTCAGCAAGAGAATATGATTCCTTCCTTCCTTCCATTATTATACATAGTTCGAAATATCATTCCTCTCTCTCTATGTGTTCATAATTCAATAGCCAATACTTTCTCATCTTTCACTTCTTCAGTAATACTTACTAATTGATTACAATTAAACTTTCGAATTTTACATAATTTGCATATCAATGATAACAGAACGAGTGATAACAACAAAGAAATATCAATTACTATATGTACATATATGTATGTATAACTATATCAACATGAGATCACGTCAAAAAATCACAAAAGGCACGTTACGATCATTGCATGATTGCGGCACGCTATCAAACGTTTCTCCAAAATTCTCGTTTCCTGGAAAAAAAAAAGAAAGTATTTCTGTTTGTGTGTCATGCGAGAGAGATCGTAAAATAAATGAAATTCAAATGAAATTAGTATTAAAGCTATGTTTCATTAACTTCAACATATAATAATCACTAAGTTAACTCATTTGTTAGCGAATAAGAAGCACTTGAAATCATTCATAATTTGGAATATACCTGAGTAAGTGCTTCTAATAAGGTAGTTCCTTGTAGACTCGATGTAGATGCAGTAAGGAAATGCTCATCGGCAACACCTAGTAGACGTTTTGCTTCACGTAAATCATCACGAAGATGATTTTGTCGTCTAATAATTAAATTAACTCGTTTATCCATTAGTAATGAATGCTGAAAATATGAAAATTATACACATTATATATATTTAGAATTCTTTCAAGAATATCCGAGAATAAACCCATTTAACAAATGCTTACCTTATTTGAAGAATAAGTCCGTGACACTTCGAACAGTCGCCTTTTTGAAAGTGACCCTAAAAATTTCAAATATAAATTCAAGTTCTATTTAGACTTCAAGAAAAAAAAAAAAAAAACATTCAAGGGTCAAAAAGTTCGGAAATCTCGTATTCTTGATCGCTTCATTTCTCACATCACATTAAGATGAAGAAATTTTATTAAGCTGATTTACCATAATTTTTGACAACATCCACACCAGTTGCACTTTCATAACCACTACTAGCCGAGAAACTTTCCCGATTTCGAGGTCGATTAGAACGAGGTGATAATAAGGTCAACAGGGGTCGACTATAAATTGAACCATTTTCGTCGCTACCATGGCCTGACGAATATGCTCCCGTATCCTGCTTTGCATCAGTTACCTAAATTTAAACCATCTGGTAACCATTATTCATTCAATAATCTAATTAATAATGCAAATAAAAAGGAGACAATAATTGTTTAATTACTATTTTAGAAGTCACTCATTCAATTCATGCCTGATAATTATAAAAAAGAAAAGAAAGAAAAATATGCCATGGAATAAGGTGAAGGTACAAAAGTTGTCGTCCTTTGATTGGCATCACTTGAATTTCGTCTTTCAATAATGCGTTTACTGCAATAAATTACCAAGTACTACCAACTATCAAGGTTATCTTGTAATTCTTCTGGCGGAATGGTCACACGCTCTGAACGCCTCATAAATTAACTTCGTTAGCCTATCCTATCCACGGTTGATTTAACCTTGGCTAATAATTATGTAGAACAGCTTTTCAGCGCCCGCAATAAGGTCTTGCAGAATGATTAATATTGCGGAAGTTGAAATTTCTAAAAAATTTTCAAGATTGCAATTATTTTGTAAAAGATTAACTTTGTTCAAAAGGATTACCCTTTCTTAGCTTCTTTTTTAGAATCCAATGAATCACGACGTGAACTTTTGTTTGTAAAGTATTGCAATGGCGTACGTTCCAATAACATTGGCTGTTTTTCGGGAGAAACTTTATTTTCCGCAGTTCGTCGTGGTAGCTTACTTTTCGTCAGTGCTTCGGATCGATTACTATAAAAAAAGACAGAGTGCTACACACTATATAATAGTTGTCTCAATGAGTCACCTTTAATGGTACTTTAAGAAACCTACTTCTTAGCAAGACAATTGTTTAACGGATGTGTACTGGATCGTGGTACTGTTGTGGTACTACTCATTGGAATACTATTGCTATTTTTCATGATGACCATTGATTGATCCAATAAAGGTGGCGGAAAAGTACCGCTTTTCAGCTGGTTATTCTCATTTGTGTCCTGTTTCTCAATTGTTTTTAGAATAGCAAATGAGTTAGGTTGTCCATAGCCACCGCTACTTCCTGATGAAAGCTGAAGAAACAAGCAAGAAATAAATAATAAAATTAAAATATGTTCTAAAAAATGCCGTGGCTCGTTTTGGAACCTTCCCGGAAAAACTTAGTTAAACAAGGTCTCGTGAAAAAGCTGAAGGTAAGATAAAAATGAAATATTGGTGGGTGAATGTATACTTCCAAAAAATTATCAAACAACAGTTCATTTCTAAATTTCCGGATTATCACCTACAATATCCGAAATAATGGAACTTTTAACTAACCATACTACTTCTGCAACAGCTTAATGGAACAAGTTTTTTCTTCTTCTTCTTCTCATAGGTTTCTGTAAATTGGAGCATTTTTTCTTCTGTATAAGCTTCCGGTTTCATTATTCCTCGATAAAATCCCGATAATGAACTATCACTTTCCGATATATTCTACAACAAATCATTGATGTCATATTTGGTTTTTTGAGGTTGTTATTCTATGATTTATTACTTTTACTATTCATGTTTTTTTTTTTTTTTTTTTTTAGTTATTTTTTCCTTTCTCAAAGTTAAGCGCATCCGCTGATTTTTAATGAAAAATTTTTAACTTGAAGATACAAAATCATTTTACAAAAAATTTGTACGGGTGGTATCTCAAAAATTTAAAACAAAGATCTTGAGGAAAATAAGTGAAAATAATTGGTGGAATTTTTTCTTCAGATGTTGACCATGAAAATTTAATTAATTGTTTTATATTTTCATCTTTTATCACCTTGAATCAGTGTCAGTTCGAATTAAATGATCGAGTTAAATTTGCAATTTATTTATCGATGAAGAGGGGAAGAAAAAAAAGAATGAGATGAGGAAAGAGAATCAGGAGGACAGATCCGTAAATTTAATGTTTTATCTGCATGTCAGGTACTATAAGATGTCATTCTTAATTAATCACATTTAAAATTTCTCTACCCTTCTTCTAAATTTTATTTTATGACATTTGATCAAGATTTGGATACAAAATTGAAAACTGGTTTCACTGATTTCTGATAATGGGTTTCAAATTTAAATTAATTTTTATACATCCAGACGTCTGGTTCATGCTTTTACAATAATTTAAACTTCGCATTCAAAATCCTTTCCCGAGTTTTTTAAATTAATTCGGCCAATTGTTCATCTTGTTTGATAACTTTGATTCAATGGAAATGGTTTCTTTAACGATCACATAACTATAAATTATACTATCCAACCAAAAATTTACTTTTAAGCATTTAGAACTTTCTGCAAGAAATATTATTCATTTGCATCCATTAAAACAAACAGTTCTGTTAAATTATTAACAATAAATTGCACTTTTTTCCGTAACTAATAGTTTTGACAAATGTTTACAAAATTATTTGTTTTTCAAATCCATTTCATAACTAATTAGAACAGTCAATAATTAACAGAACTGTTTGTTTGTTTTATTGGCTGTTCAAATTAGCTATAAACTGTTGTCTGGTACAAAATATATTTTGGACTCATGCGTACTTGTCACTAAAAACTCAATTGCAAATTCTAAAAGTCGTGGAAATAAAAAATTTTCGAAATATTAAAATATTTCCAAAGATTTCTAGCATAAAGTGAAAAACATTTTAAAACAAAGTAAAAGATCGAAGAAAACTTTAATTTATCTGGTCCATGGTCAATTTCCTGAAAGAGAAATTTCAAGAAACGAAAAAAATATGCGAATTTATTTTCTCAGAAGTTCTCTATGCTTGGCATAGTATGACATTGACAAGAGTAAAATTTTTTTTAAAAAAATTAAAATTCTACCTTCCCTTAAATATTTGCTTATTAAAAAGAAAATGGGAAGAAAAAAACGCTACTGTAATTGCATAAATTTAGACAATTTATTATCTAAACTATAGTAATTAAGATTTTTGATTAAAAACAGATGGCAGTAATTTCTTCAAAAGATAGGAGGCAGAGATTTATTGCAAAAGTATAATTGATACTAAACAAACTTTCCCAACGATGCATACTATCACTAATAAATCTACGTATATCTTTCTTGAAATTCAAATCAAGCAGTATCTCTTTCTGCAATTTTCCACCGTAACAAATAGAGATACATTTGATATTAGGCTTAATCTCCTAGTCAATGGAAATATATGTGACATTAGGCCTAACCTCTCATAAGATTATCATTTGGTCCTAAACTTTATCAGCCATTTTGTTAAACTTCAAATATGTTTCCACTGATTTTAAGATCCTCTTTATCAAATTAAACACGCATAAGAGTAGCAATTTTCTTCTCAATTGACTGCCTATTGAGATGTACAAATTTACAGTGGTTTAAATTGTTTTCATGCACCAAATGATTGCTAATTATACGATAATTATACCCAGAAATTTTGTGATCAACAATAATCGGGAGAATGGAAGTGTATATAACAATAAGTCAACAAATTCTCTCATCGAATAAACAAGAGTGAATTAATAAATGCGATCATAAAGTTTATTTATTTAGTAGTTCGACTATCGATCTATTTCTCTGCTATTTTTTTATCAAATAGCAAGCATGATTATTGATAATTGTTGACAGTTGTTCACATTAACATCCTTTTGTTTACTTATTCTCTTAGCAACTTGAACAATCCATTTGCTTTGTTTACAGAAACTTCGTAAGAGAAATGTAACGTCGATTTTATAATTTGAAAAACTTAATGCTAACCTCAGAGTGGATTTCCGATAAATCATCATTTAATCGTGAAAGTATTTCATGTGAACGAATGGAACTGATACTAGCAGCCATCGCTCGTTCTAAATCGTCGTCTTCCACTTCCTGAAAGCAAGAGATAATGAATTGATAATGAATAATAAAGAAATTAAAGTATTAAGAGAAATAGGTGATAAATGCAAGAAATAATGAATGCTTAAAATTCTTCGCTCAATAATACGTAACAATTAAATATAACAAACGCAGATTACAGGTGAACGTTTTTTACGTGAAAAGCATTGCTAGATATTACGCTAAAAGTGATTTCTAATCAATGGCTTAGTTCTTTTACTGCGCACCTGTCTGAAAAATTAAACAAAATATAAACAAATAATACAAACATTTTCGGATGCACTTTTTCCGGATGTTGAAGCGGAAATTTTATCCAGACTAAGAATACTCAACGGCTGCTGAAGAGTGCCAATATTTTGAAAAGACTCTAGAAATTGTTCGGTGGTTGGTAGGCTCCGCGGTGAATGACATCCACTGGCTTCTTCGTCATCCTCCAAAATATCATCCAACTGTCGCCGACAACCATACTGTTGCAGATTCTCCATGTCTATGTCATCTTCGTTACACTGCACACAAACACTAATCTAGAAATTAGATTTCAGCTAGTACCAAACTGTACAGCAATAAATAGATTATGAATTAGCAATTTGCAAATGTGATTAAATAGGTAATTAAGTTCTTAAACCGATAATAAATACCTGAAATGTCAGCAGAAATAAATTCAGGATTCAGAATGATGATGAGCAGCCATTAAATTATTACTAAGCCTTAACAATAATGGACTAATGAAGTGACCAAATGTGATGTGTGAAGAAAATGTGTAATTGAGCAAATAAGAAACCTTGGCAGGTTGAGAATAGCTGCTTTCCTGAGTATCTTTGATCCAGTCTAGGATCATTTTTCGTTTCGCGGAATCAATTGTATTTCCATTTGTCCTTCGTTTTGGCTGTTGTTGTTCAGCAGTCGGTTCTATTCTGCAAAACTGGATTGAACTTCAAACAATTCTAAAATTTAATTGTCAAATTTCAGAAATTAATTTGTAAAAAATAAAAGAAAGTAAAGGTTCATAGCTTCAATTAGATCAATTTTATTTAATTATAAGACCCTTCTTGTCTTAGCCTTTTATCCAAACCTGGAAATGAAACTATTTTCCATTATAAACATGAGTAATTACACAGTCCTGGCCACTTATCTCTTCAATTTGTGTTTTGAGATAGGTTAAGGTTGAAAATTTAAGTAAACACATGAATATTCAAGTGGCAAATTTAAGTTTTTTTCTTCCATCGTGCTAGCTTATGGTACCAAAGGTCTTGAAATAAAAACAAAATAGAGTAGCTAAGCCTGCTGAATAACTTACCATGATCCCAACAAGTATATTACAAAACCCTCAAGGTTAAATATCTTCTAGTTGATCTGTTAAAAATAAAATTGTATTAAAATTTAAAAGTTCAAAAAGATGAACCTAACAGATGGTCCAAGGAAAATGACCGTTTCGGCGCATGATTGCTCTGAACTCGAATTACCTTCACTATTTGTAGCTAGACGTCGACGAGTAGAATCAGAAGACGATGAATCACTTCCAATCTGGAAATATCTCAAAAATAATTTTTTGAGTAGTACCAGAGAGACCATTTCTTTAATATAAAGAAAAAAGGAAACAAGGAACAAATAACTTATGTGTCTATTCTATATTAACCGATTTTCCCTTTGTTTAGCTGATAGTGCCAATAATTTGGCGAATAATTGAACGATTATTCGCCAAATTATTGGCACGAATATTTTCATTATTATCGACACTAAATTATTGGCACGAATTATGTCAAATTATTGACACAAATATTTATTTTATTTGTTCAAATTAGAAAACCCCTTTTAGAGAAAACCTAATAAACTATAAAAATTCATTGCGTTACGCAAAGTTTACTTAACATGGCAGCTGTAAATTTGAAAATTGAGAGTTCGCTTTTTTTTTTTAACTTTCTAAAATTGTAAAAAGAGCAATGAAATTTTTGGAAGAATATGGAAGATTATGTAACAGAATCCATCATAAAAATATAAATTTTAAAAAATTGAGCTTTAATATCCACTAAATCAATTGCAAGTAGCATAGGAACTTTAACGTTACCAATACAAATAGAAAGGATTCAAAATTATTAGTAGAAAATTTTTAATTTGACAAATTGATCAAAGTAACTGTTAAGTAAAAATCTTGCGCGGAAATAGTAGGATGACCGATGTCTAACACATGCCGCTTAAATCGATGGGACAGCTGACGATGAAAAGAAAATTTTGGAAAATGTAATAAAAGTGGCTGATAAGATATATCAGAATTATTCTTGCTGAAAATCAAAGTGAATTGAAAAGAAGCAGCACTGAGAGTTTAGATGCAAAGTCAATTGAATACTTGAAAAGCTTATGAAATCAGCTATTCAACTGATGAATGTTTCGGAAATATTCAAACTAGATGAGATATTAATATGAGACTTCGGAAATATTATTTACATCAATCTTTGCTTTGCATTTGTTCTTCAAGCAAGACGTGAAAAAAGTGCATTTTGCGCCTTACTAAATTAATGATCATAATTAAACTTACACGGTGTGTTTTTCGTGGTTTAGCAGCACGCTGTATTTTTGACATCATTTGTAAAATATTTTCAGATTCCGAAACTCGATCGGAAAGTGAAGCAAAGAGAAGCGATGCTTTCACTTGTGCACTACCAAGTGATTCTTTTAATAACATACACAAAGGACTTTGTCTGAAAATAAGAGAAAAAACTTTAGCAAAATGATTGGAATTAGAGTTAGAAGCAGAAGAATGAACAAATGTTATGATAGTTCTCTTATCTGATAAACAAAGTGATAAATTTTATCACAATGGTAGTTAATATTGATAAAGAGTGAAGAAGAAACCTGCTTGGGAGATATCGTTGTCCCTGAAACAGTGCAACTAATAGATTAGTAATAACAGGCATTGTCATTGCTTGTACGTCCCCTTTTGATGTCCGTTCACCAAGTCCTAAATCTACCAGACATAATCGTGATCGGCCACCAATCAATTGGGATGTATTTTTTTTGTACCTGAAATGATTTAATAATTTCAGCAAAGAAATGATGAAATTCTTTTGAAATAATTACACTGTATATCTTATGACTTACCGCAGATACAGCACACTTTGTTTTTTTCAAATATTTTTATAATTTCTTTTGTTATGTGCTCATTTTGCGTTAAATGTGATGCATTTAACAGCCTTGCCATACTACTAATAATAATTAATAACAATAACAATGGAAAATCGAACAAAAATGAGTGATGTAAGCGTAAATTTCGATTATTTTTCCAGACCAACATTTCCTGTTATGCATAACTGCTGTTTAGTTGATATTCGTTGTGAATGTAATTTGATAGCATATCAATGTGATTAGTATCAAAACATTTGTCAACAGTTTAAAGTGTGAAATAAATTGGTGTGTGTGTGAACAGTTGTTGTTAGATTAAAATTTTACAAAATCAAATTTAACTGGCAACCGAAAAGAATGTATGCATAAATCACACAATTCATGACTTATTGCAACAAGGGAAGATGATGTGACGTCGGACTGACTGGTGCCCACACGTAGATAAAAACATTCTTGACGAACGGAATGAAGAAAAAAACAGCCGGAAGAAGTAAACAGGAAGAAATTTTTGCTTTTTTTAATTAATAGTACATTTTCTGATTTCTCTTTGACTTTCGATTCACTAATTGAAATGATTTGTTGAATTTAAGAAGTAGATTTTTGAGGGAAAAAAAAAATTCACTTTTTTCAATTTAAACTTCACAAAAGTGAATTATCTTATTTATCAAAAATTGCCAATTAAAAAAATGAAATGGTAAAATGGATGAAAAAACTTTCATTTTGTTAGCAGTTGCTGAGATTTGATAAGAATTAGTTGTGCTACCAATCATTCAACGGTTTCTTTTTTAGGATTTCTCAAAATGCAAAAGTCATGAATGTTCCACAGATAATCCATAATGAATAAAATAAAGGGAAAACATTTTCTTATGAATATTTGTTTTGCAAAAAAAGAAAAACTAGCCTATACAAATTGATATAGAAGAAAAGATGTCCACATCGTTGTTCATTTTCATCTTCTGAAATAAGTGATCATTGCATTCAAATTATGGCGGTAATGTTCTATGATATTCTGGTGATAAATCATATTTACTGAATTCTAATTTCTTTTCTTGTTGTTACATTTTTTTTTAGAATTAAAAATATTTCTATCGTTTGGAAATTAATAATATAAATAAGGATTGCTTGTTTAAAACTTTTCTGGTGTATTTACAAGAAGCATTCGGATACCGAAAAGTGAAAAATAAAGACAAATTTTAGTATTAGACTTATGAGTAATACAAAGAGTTATTTACAATTGCAGGTTTTAAGAAATATTAAGTATTTTACTGCTGTCTTGTTGTAATTATCTATTTACAACTTTAAAATACGAGGCAAACCTTTCGTATAGCTATCAACTTTTTATAGTATCTTTTAAGAACTTGGACTTCTTTTGCTTTGACCTGATCAGCTTAAGAAATTTTTATGACCTAACGGCGGCATAAACCTTGGAATCAATGAAAGAAAATCATAAAATTGATAGACGAAAACGTTGCACATAAAATTTATAGCACAATTCCGTGGATGCCAGATTTACAGTATGAATACTAACGCTATTCATTTCTTTTAGATATATTTTATTCCAAATATTTCTTGAAAATCATTTCCATATATTTCAATATTTTCTCGTAAAATATGCTCTTCAACTTTTGACTTAAAATTTAGTGCATTACATGAGAATAAATTTATACCACTTCATAATTTTATTATATTAGAAAAGAATTTCTTTTTAACTTAAACTGAAGATATTTTAAAGAGTTACCGGTTATTCTAGCCTGAATAACATCATTGATCATCAACATTGCTTGTTTCACCGAATCTACTCTCAATTCACTGTGATTCTCAATTTTGATTCCCAGTACGGAATCTTCTCGAATAGTAACAATATCATGTGAGGTGACTGAAATTAGGAATTTCAAATCTGACTGATCAGAGATGATGAATGGTAATGGTTATCAAGTGATCAATAAAAAAGAAAATCTTCGAAATTATTTTTAAAATTTATTAAAATTACAATTTCCCCCTTAACTTTCGAGTTCGAAAAATTCTTCTGCAATTTTTAATATTTCAAAATTCCATAACACAAATATTTATTTTGCGGGCCTTTTTATCAGTATATAATAGACCAACTGTTAAAAGAAGATAAAAAAATGATGTATTTTTGGCGCAAGCCACCAATTATCTCATTGAATAGAGTCCGCACACCCTGTTGATTAATGATTTTGGCCTTTTCACTGCAAAATTTATGCAATTTTTCGCTCAACTACCCAAAAAATAACAAAATTATATATATATGTATGTATGTGTGTGTGTATGTGTTGTGTGTGTGTGTATGTGTGTGTGTGTGTGTGTGTGTATGTGTGCGTGTGTGTGTGTGTTCTGAAGTGAAATAACAGATTGAAAATGCTTTCAGACCATGAAAAAATGAATGAAAAACAGTCAAAAGCGCAAAAAAGATTTGATTGATGATAATGGATTCTTTTTTTGAATAGAAACCCACGCAGCCATATATATAACAATGAACTAACCGGGTAGAATAAACGAAGCAAGAAGATCGATGAGTAGATTACGACGTTGAGAATAATAAAGTGCCGAAATACGGACAGAATGGTGAAAATCCGGTCGACGTTGGCGCAATTCGGATATTAACCGGAATGTGAGCAGCAAAGCAGATGGAAAGATACCCGGATATTGTATTCCAGATGATGGACCGGCTAAATCTGAAGTTGTGTTGGCCGATGATACCGCTGCGAAATCTTGTCGACCGTACTGCGAATACAATAATTCATTTTTAGCTGAAAATAATCAGTTTAGAATGTATGAATTCTTTTCAATCATAAAAATAAGTAAAAAAAGAATCCAATAGAAAAATTTTTTAATTTTTTTTTTTAAAGTTTTTAAAAGTTTGAGAGTTTTGAAAACTAAACGAAAAACAATTCAATCCCTTCATAAGCTTTTCTTTATTTTATTATTGCCATTTCTTCTCAAAAATCTATTCGAAATCTCTTTTTTTTCGAAGCCATATGGTAAGCATACTTTCCCCAAATTACAAATTAATTTCTCAAATATTTCATTAAATTTTCGCCGTTCAACGCCATCAAAATATTCAATTAATGTGGATATCTTATTAAAAATTTCGATAATTTAAAATTAAATCTCTTAGATGATCAAAATCATGAAATCAATGACAGAAATAAAAGGATAGCATATATCGTATGTTTAGCATTGTCAAGCATATGTCGTCTGCGCTTATACTTACACACAAAAAAAATCTCTAATTGCAGAATATTTTTAAAGAATTTTTTGCGATGAACGATAAAAATTACGATTATATAATCAACAATAAGCAATAAAACGATCCTTCCGATGATATCAAACGAATAATTCAATTTGTGATCAGTTATTTTGCCTCGTGTCAAATTCATTTTTAATGATCTTATCAATCATTGTCTAGGAAAAGCCAAAAAAAATTTTTAGCTTATCAAATGATAAACAATACCTTTTGATACAGCACCAAAATAGATAAAACACGCATCAGAACCGCTGAAACATGTTTGCAATAGATCCGGCAAGCAAACCGAACATATTTGTTGCTGAAAATGATAATTTCTATTTCCATTGTCATTTCATTATGATTTCATATTATTTTTAAAGTATCATGATCACGATTTTTGCAGTATTATGATTCTTTCAGAGAATTCATCATAAACTATTAAGTGAAGTGTTCACTATCATATAGTGAAAATTTTCACATACTAAATAAATTATAATCAAAATCAATAAAGCGAAGTAATCGAAAGAACGTTACAGTACTTAGAAATAATTTCTTTGTCAAAATACCAATTATTGCATTCTTTCTTTCCATAATAGATTTAAAAATTTAACTAATTAATTAATTTAATGACGAACAATGGTAGCATCGGATGCAAAAATCTGATCGAATGTATATTTGCTAAATGATTTTGAAATGCCCGATTGATTGCATCGAAAGACAAAGCTATTCCCATGTACGGTCACATTTTCCAAGTCTTCGTCTGCTAATCGAAGTACTGTTTTTAACTGAAACAAATTGTACGTACTTCTTTTCCATATACACTAACAAAATGATTAAAAATTTATTTGAATATGGAAATATTATTGCTTAACTTAAAATTGTCATACTTCTTCCTTCTCACTGCATTAGACATATTTCCTCCATTTCGATAATATTTTATCAGAGAATTCCAAAACTGCCATTCATATTATTCCAAGATGTAAATAGCTTAGCTTACATTGTATTACTGTCTTACTTCGATGGATCAACAACAATTAACAGCCTAAGCTGAAGTTAAACAAAGCAACTGATATTTCAGAAGAGGATTTGTTCTAATTTTACAGACTTGTTTACTTTTCATTTTTCTTCATCGTTGTTGATTACCAAAGTAAGTTTCTTTTCTTTTCAAACTAATGGACCGACTGACAGAGACAACGACAGCTGCGTTGACGAGTAATGGAGTAAGTGTGGATATACAATCCATTCATCCATCACTACAGTCATAAAGGTGACAGCATCAATTGGTCAACTGGTCAGTTAAAGCATTGGCTGCTGAGTAAGAAGCATCGAGCAGTAACTAACCAGAAGCAGAAGCACTGATCAATTCCCGTTGTATGGATGGTCGGTTAAATGGATCCAGAAATTTGTAAGGTTTACAAACGGTAAGTAAAGCAATCTTTCATTGTGTGCTAAACTCTCGATGCAAATCGATTAAATACAAAGAAAAAGATGAGAGATCTTGGGAATCTATATTCCTTACCAATCTTTATGGTCATGTCGATACCAACGTAATTCCTGATATCGGAAAAATCCAACAGAAAACTTAGAAAAGATATAGACTACTGGAAATTACCGGAAGTATTAACAAGAAACCGACCCAACTTTTTGAAAAATGGACAAAGCTGCTATGAGTTCAAAGGATACCAAATAATGAGAAAGTTTATACTTCAAAGAAGGAAATGAATTATAATCGTGTGAAATGTCGAACTATTGCTTCGGAATGACCATAAAGAGATCAGAGAAGGGAAGAAGGGAATTAGTTCTCTCTGCGGTGATATATGATTCTGAGAAACCACAGCAAGATAAATGGTTTACGGATCGGATAATAATATTTGAGAATTTCTTTTTTCCTTTTGCTCCAATCATTTTTATTCAAACGGAATTTAAAGAATTTTCCAAGACACAATATTTTTTTTTTTCTGATGAACTAAATTTTTTTTCAAGCACAATATTTTTTTATGCTCCTTACCAATTTAAATTAGCTTTAAATTTTTATTTTTCAATTTATTTCATCAACTATTAATCAAATCTTTTCCATAGTTCAGAAAATATAATCGATGATAATAAAATTTCAGATAAAAAGTAGTATTTATATAGGATTAAAAAGTTTTTTTTTTCTTTTTTTGTTATTTGATTTAATAAGAAGACATATTTGTTTAACACTATAACCTTTACAGTTAGTAGCAACCACTAAATGTAATGTAATGTGATATGATATTCCAAACATATCGCAAGTTTCAAGCATTAGCATTCAATAAACTACTCTGATAGTAACCCTATGACAATAGCCATTCTTTTGTTTACCTTTGTGTTAACAAACAACGCAAGCTTATCCTTTCACATATGTGTATTATATATATCCCATTCCAACCTCATAGCGATACATACTATCCATAAAGATACATACATTATATTAGTATATCAATTAGGTTAGGTTAAAGTTCAAAGCAAGATGAATGTATCAAAACGTTGAAATTATTTAATCATTTGAAGAAATCATCGTTTTTTTTTTTTTTTTTTAAAAAAAAAAATTGCAATAAATGGCTATTTTATGATGATAAACACGAAAAAATCAATCCGAAATTATATAAATTTTATTTGTTTGAAAATAAAAAAACAAATGAAGTAAACCTGAGGACTAGAAGGTGATCTTGTTGTTGGCGCAACTAAAAAACGATGAAGTGCTGGTGGAAGCGGAATTTCTTCCGCTTGATTTCGTTCACTGTGATTTCTACCTAAGCTGGCTAACTTATTTGGAGATGAAAGTCGCACAGATAAACTATCCGGCCGATCATACGGCATCGCCAAGACACTGAAACTTGACATTAAATATCGTCGGAAGGGAAAAAAAAGGAACAAAACTGAAAGTAAACAATTTGAAAACGTAAATAAATTCGGAAATTAATGGAGCATTTGAATTAATAGTTATTTAATTTGAATGCAACAAAATAAATGATAAGCAATACTGATTGCCAGATAAAAAAAATTGAAATAAAATATCGAAATACGGATTCAATCATAAATATAAATAGCATATGTTAGGGTTGTGTGAAAGTAACATAGAGCTATAAAATACTAAATGGTAGAAGTAAGTAATAAATATTTTGTGCAAAACAATAATATAAAAGTAATTCTGAAGGAGAATGCAAAAATATTTTTACAATTATACGGAATTGCTAACAAAAGATAATTTCGTGAGTACATGTATGAGACAAGAAATAAAATTTTGAATCTAATTAACCTAAACTTAATCAACATTTTTCCTACTACAACATTCACAAAAAAAAACATTGAAAATTTTATTTCAGTACCATTATCTCATTGAATTGAAAAAATGATAAGTAAATGAGTAAATAAATGTCTTAGCAGAATATCCTATATTCATGGCTTATTCTTAAGAGCATATTTAAATGCAAATTGAAAAGCCTTCGCCCAAAATTTTTGCAAACAATTAAATGTTGATTTAATTAAATCCTCTAAATATGATCATTAATGATAGTTCGATGTGTGCCAAAACGGATAAACAATAATAAATTACTGAATGGAAATTGAACAAGGAGTGGAGAAGAATCTATTCTCATGAAATGATAAAAGAGGAAACAAGACGGAAATTAGAAAGGGCTTCAGGAAAGACTGAGAAAGGATGAGCAGCAGTAGTTAAAAGAGGACTGGTAGGTAGGACAACTGAGCAGGCCAATGATACAATGGGAACTTAATTCAATAAGCCTCGGGTGTAAGTTATATAAATATATATGTACATATGCATATTTGGGTTGTATTGGTGAAATATTTTCAGAATTCTTTTACAAATGTTGTTAAAATGAAATAGGCATTATTCTTGAGGGAGTTAAAGCCTTTAGGCTTGTTAGTTTGTTGAATGGTCAAGTGGTGGTTAAAGTGAAACAAGAATTTACTGAAAAATAAAGAAGAGGAGCAAATAGAATAAACCAATTCAAAATAATTACTACCAACTACTTTACTGCCAAATTTGCAACTTTTCATTTTTGCACTAATAAATTTTTATCTCGACAAATTATTAACTTAATATTAGTGTACTAAAAGTTATAAATGCAATAAAAGTTAACAAAACGATCAGAAATAATTAGCTATTCTATCATTTTGGTGCACTAATTCTGCAGTGAAACTGAATTCAGTTTAGAAAGATCAAAGCTGGCAGATTGGAAATTTTGAGGATCTTTAGATTTCTTTTGTGGATGCACGCAAAAATTGTCCCTTAAAATTGTAGGATATGTGAGTTATTCGATTTCTTTTAGAAAGTACAGTATGCTGAGTCCTTTAATCATCCGATGAAGGTCAATCAAAATGCTCACATGTCTAACAAATAAAAAATAAATTCGGATCAGAAACAATTACAGACTTTCTTCCGGAAAAGAAAATAATATTCTTAATAATTAGGAGGGATTTCAACTTTAATCTGCAATTCATTATCATTATCAATAAGTAAGTGGATGAATAATAGAAGTTTCTCACGTAACACACGGGGGTCAAGACTGTCTAACGTATTCCTAATCGCAGAAAAGTAGGAGGAAAAGGAAGACCGAACTAGCGCAAATATGTCAGGGATGGATGTGGCTGCTCATTGTGCATCTTCCGCCGGCAAATCTATCTTCTCTCCCGAGCTTAGTTGCGTCCATCCCCCATTTTACGAAACAACTGTAGCTCGGATGATCATCAGGGTAGAGGAGGATGGTTGAAGAGAATTAACCAAGAGGAGACGAATTTTGACGGGGTCCGCTCTTTGAGGTGCAACACCAATGACAACCACCCACAACCTTCTCCCATCTTGAAAATTCCAACAATTATCAGCGAAAACGATCTGAAAACCATCTGTGAACCGCTTTCATTTGTTTCACTCTAATTTATCCGGCTATTTCAAGTCATGAGCTTTGCAAGAAGAGAGAAATTTGCTCACTGCATCACATCCTTTGACCTTTTCAGAAAGTTACAGTGGTCAGCCAATGACCAAACACCGTAGGGATTTCGCAGCATTACTCATTTTCGTCTTTCATGATTTTTAATGACATTTCTTCTTTAATTTATTAAAATTCTATCTCTATCTTTTTCTAAATTTTAACTCAATCGTTGGAAACTGAAATAGCCAATGATTCTCAGAGGACAAAATAATTACAAAAAGTTTCGGACTTAATATAACATCGCCGTTGCATAGTATTTTAATTTATATTTCTCTCAAAACTTCTCTCTTTGTATTTCAATTTCATTAAAATCCCTGTCTATTCGATTACAATATAATCGCTTCAAAACAGCTGATCAGATGATTATGATTTGAAATGAGAAGAAAAATGAGATGCTGCATATAAATTATCCAAACGATAAACAGAATGTCATCATGTTGAATGGATTGAAAAGGAATGATGGCTTGTCATCGAATCCTCAAATGATGTCTCAGAAGAGAGAGAGAGAGGTAGATAGACAGAGCCAGAGACAGACAAAGAGGAATTAGTTACTGTTTGAACTCGATTTAATTTTATTACAAAAAAGGATAGAGACAAAAATAGTCTTTACTTTGATGCTTCAGATGACTATATCTTCTTTATCAAATTCTTGAATAAGACTGCTTAGAAAAAAAAAAATCTTTTTTAAGTGTCAACTTTATTTTTCAATAGCATATATATTTCACAATACTAGAAAATTCGTTTATTAAGAAATAAAAGCATTAATAATGGTTGATAGCGATTGCTAATTCACTTTATCAAAAGAAAACTTTCGCATAATTATAAGTTCCACTACAAAAGTTTCTGAAAAAAAAAAAAAAACTGAAATTAGCGAATAACGATAAATAGCGCTGATAAGGATGACATGAAAAACAAGAAACGATTAATGTCTCCGTGTGACAATTTTCTTTTGTCACTGTCTGCTGGACAGATCGTTACCAAACTACTAAACAGACAATGCTTCAATAAATTATGCGCATTTCATGAGGCGACAATGAACAAAATACTTTTTTTTTTCCTTTTCTACCTCAAGCTATACTTTTCCTCTCTTCTGGATTACATTGTTCCGGATGCAATTATTCAGGAAAAAGTGCATTGGATTACATTGTTCCGGATGAAACTATTCAGGAATAAGTGCATATTTTGTATAATGTTTGATTATTTGATCGATCAAAAAAGATCAAAGAATTACACATATTGTTTGCATTGTTGAATAAAAAGTTTAAATCGGATTTATTTCCTAATGACAAATCTTTCCTCAGATCATCTCAACAAACGTTCCATCGTGTCGCAAGAGAAAGGATTAAAATGCAATGAATAAAAATGCTGCTTTTGTCTGCTCCTCTCTCTTCCTGTTATTCTTTTCTCACTCTGTTTTCCTTTAATCGGCAAAACAAAGATTTTAGGAGAGGAATTGGTTGATGGATAGATGGATTGGCCATCACAACACAACAACGAATATTCTCTTTCAATTACAATATTAATCTTTGACATCCTTGCACTCTCTCTCTCCCTCTCCCTCTCTCCCTATGGGAATTATTTGTCCCAGCCATCATTTCATTTGTAAAATGTCCACCTATAATTATTTTTTTTCTTCCTGATAAAGTCAATACATGTGCACTATTATCAGTAACTTTTTTAGCCTTATCAACAAGCAAAGTATTAAGATGGCCCTTTTCGAATGTAATATGAATTGCAATAATTGAATAACGATTTGAACCGCAAAATTATATTAATAATTATGCAAATAATACAGCTGAAATTAGATTAGATGACTAAGTGCAAGAGTGATAAGACTGTTAAAGTAATAAGATAAACATATATATATATAGCAAATTGTTGTCCTTAGGAAAGCTATAATTTATTGAATAATCCTTTGTATTTAGTTTATCATATTAGTTAATAATACGATATTATTAACCATAATTAATCTAGGTTTATATATTGTAGTTGATTTTGTCAAATAATAAGTGATAATTTACCTTGCACACTTTTTTCAAGCTAAGAAACAATTTGCTAGAAATTTACAATTAGGTAATTGTTTTAATGACCCACCAGCGAGTTCAATGCCAACAAAACTAAGTTAACTTCCTGACAAATAATACATTCTTTTATTATTATAAGAGCAAAAGATGTGTTTTATAAGAAATTGTTAACTGGAAAATTTGTCAGTCGAGAAATTAGGCGCCTGGGAATTGTAAGTGAGAATTCAAGCGAAGTCTTAAAAAGATATGGTGAAGGAACTCATCAAAAAATAAGAAGAAAAGAATATATACATATATATTTGCAACCGATTCACATGTTAGACAAACTAATTCTTGGCCTAAGGCTAAATAGACAAAAATTCCAATTTTATCCAACGAATTAGTCATAAGAGGGCAATGGGGTAATACATGAAAAAAAAAAAATTGTTATCCGAAAGAGACAAATAGCAAAATGTAACGTTTGAAAACTCTAATCAGTCAGTCTCGAGAAAGTGGTTGAAACGACTTGGGATAGTGAGAAAAGGCCTAAAGCGAGACTATTAGTTAAATGTGGCATCATTTGAATCATTTCAATTCAAATGCATCCAAAGGAAGGAACTTTGTTAAGCAGAAGCTAAGCTTAATTTTCTGGGCTTAAACATGAAATAGAATTAAATAATGACAAAATACATGGCTGCAGCCTCATTTAAGTTATTCTCACTCTTAAATAAATGTATACATATTGTATATATTATATTAAATATATCATATTATATATTCCCATTACATGCCCTTCATTTTAGGCTCAATTTGGCTAATATAATTGTACAGTTAATCAGGGAGAGGGGAAGAGGGACAATTAGTA